AATGTTACAGTGTGAAAAACCAAGAAATCGGAAAATGATCAAAATAGATGCAAAAACAAAAGGTTAAAAAGACAGTTAAAATTTACATGTATATAGAAACTTAATTTCTTTTGATCTGTATAGTTTTTGTATACTTTTATTAAGAAGAATATCGTATAATGGTCAATACAGACACTTCCTGGATATGCAGATCCCTCGGATTTGATTGGCCCTAATTTATTTTGCAAGGAAATGTAAAAAAAAATCACTGAATTGGTTGTATGATCAACCCAATGATATTATATACCTCTAAATTTATATCCACATTTAAATAGTATATTTTGAATATAACTATAAAAAAAAATGAGATCTTCTATACTTGAAAACATTTATTATTCTTTGTTTTTGTTGAATATTGAAAAGCAGTAATGATCATGTGTGCTAAAAATAAAGCTAGAGATCGCCCATTTTTTTTAAAAAAAAAGGAAATTCAGAAAAAGTGAGGGGGGTATCCCAAAAAAAAATCGGACATACAAGAGTAAAATTTTTTCATCCAATCGATGAATAATTGCGCAATCGAATCATTTGTTCGGTCCAATAGAATTAGATAATTTTTTTTTCTATTAGAAAGATTACAGCCCCATACCCTGTGATTGTTTACTTTTTTCTCCCTTACACTTTTTAACTTACATGGCATCTCACCTTGCTAGCAACAAGTAGTTTTAACATACCGATTATGTAACTACTGTGTTCCGATCAAACGTACCGCCTTTGCTTTAATATCCTTCCCGTCGTGTTATCTCTAGGCAGTAAAATATTTTTGTTTTAACGAATTAAGCTTTGGAGTAAGTATACTGTTTTGTCTTGACAAATTGTAATCACAATTCCTCTAGAACTAACAAACTGTTTTAGATAGTGTATTGCCTTTGCCAATGTACACAATGCGTATAATATAAACACACCCATCTCGCTAACAACAAGTTGCCTTGTCTCTGCCACTGTAAGTTAATATTTGTTATTTGAAATTTCGGATGAGAACATGTAGAGAAGAATAGGCTTGCTCGGAGATGTTTATTGTAATAATATATTGTCATGATCATTTTATTGTTATAAATTCACAGCGTATGCCTCCACTTACGAGTCCTTTTATGTGTCAATTGCAGACGTTGGTAGTACTGCGCGTATCTAGTTTTGATAGTTACGAGAGCTTTACTTACAAACGAGTATAAAACATAACGTTTGTCATACGCCTCTAAGTTATAATATACAGCGTAATTATTACATGCAGCATCGGCTGCTATATTACTCATGACATGTGGCTCAGTTAATCATCTTTTGACTCTCCCGACATGAAAGAACAGACGCAATTATTGGATAGTCGATTGCTCTTCCACCGTATCGTACAGTCATAAAGGAGCATTTAAAAGAACTAAAATATTTGCTTTTTACACCTTTTTTTTATGTATTAAATAGACAAGATTAGCACTTTAACCAAATGACTTCACTTACAACGAAAGATGATAAATACAACTGTAGCGTAAGCAAGTCGCGTTGTTCTGTTTGTTCAAGAGAATTTTCTTCGACCTCTAACCGAAATAGACATGCACTTAAATTTCACAATGCTTCTCCCCCTGCAAATGTTGGGCGACCTTCATTAGGTGGAAGGAAACAAGCCAACCATAGATACTATAAAAAAGTTACAGCTGAAAAAACCAGACCCAAATGCGCAGTGTTCTTGACTTCAGCAATGGAAGAGTCGAAGTCTTTGGATAAAAGTAATTTAGTGTCATCGTACCAGACCAGCCTTAAACAATGGCAATTACAACTTCAAAAGTCTAGACAAATTATGTCTCTTCCAACTCTTAACAACTGGCAATGCGACTCAAGCTACTGGGAGTTTCTAACTTTCGCACTCATGACCCATGAAGTACGCAATTACGAATTATACTTCGAGCATGAAGTTTTTTTTAACTCGACGTCTCCTTTAAGCGCCGTTTATTCCAGCAATAGCTATACTCGCGAGCATATGAATATCTGTCAGAAGTTCTGGACTACTCCAACGTCTAAATTCAACTGTTTACTTAAAGCCTATTGCAAAGCTTTTACAGGGTACTATTATACCCAATAAGATAGTGTATATATTGTCAAATAAAATATTGTTGTTAAAGAAAAACGTTAAAAAACTGCTATCACAGCCTCAACCAACATATAAAGCAACGTTACTGTACATAGCAGTTTTATAACAAAAAAATTATAAGTGGAAAGATTAATAAAATCTTAAATTTATGTCAGTTTGTTCTTTATTTCCACAGTCTGTTCTTTATTTCCACAGTCTGTTCTTTATTTCAGTTTATTCTTTACTTCAGTTTATTCTTTACTTCAGTTTATTCTTTATTTCAGTTTATTCTTTATTTCAGTTTATTCTTTATGGGATTCAAGACGTAAAACGCAAAATAAAAAGTATCCCAACAAATCAAGTATTAAATGTATTTAAATTTATTTAAACGAGGAAAAAGAAAGGATATAATTACCTTTGTTAATGGGCAAGGTCAGGCGAAGAAACTTCCAGCGTAGCCGGAGTTGTATCAACTGCTTCTGCACCTGGTACAGCAAAAGAAATCTTATTTTCTTTAATTGCCTCAAGGACGAGGTGCATTTGGCCAGATGTTTGCTCATGGGCCCTTCTAACTGGGACATCTTCGGGCCACCCAAACATCTTCAGATCAGCAGTTTGATCCTTGAACTTCTGGAACGGAAATGCTTTAGCAAATTTTGCGCTTGGATGAGTATCTAATGTAAAATGTCAGTAAGAGTGTCAATCTTGTGTAGTAGGGGAAACTGACGATACAACTCTAAAATTCTTTGACTATACTCTTTTCTCAAGAGATTGCCGTTCTGACTATATGGCTTAGATACTTATTTTAACATGTAAGTAATAATTTTAGTAATCTAATTTAAACGAAAACATACTTCTCTCGTTCGCATCATGGTTCCTCTTTTTCAAGAAAGCCGACAACTCGCTGCCCATCGTGTCTTTCAGACTTAGACAGTGCTCTTTTGTTTAAAAATAATGTAAGCTGCTTGTTCTATACACTCCCCAATATATTTGACTTACCTCCAGCAGTTAGCATATGCATAATCAAACGAACATTACCAGATTTTTCGTTTAATGGAAATACACTGATAACGAGGAAGTCCGAACCACAGAGAGCATTGTAGGAGTGAATTATTTTCTTCATCTCTGAGACTGCTTCCAGATGGTGCAGGTGCTTTTTCTCAGAAGTAAGCTTACTAACAGGTTGATAATCGGTTACCAATGCAGCCTTTTCTGCTGGGTTCAATGCTTTGTATAGCGTAGACGCATTTTTTTGAAAAGCGATTAAGCCTATAAACGTACAAACAATTAGATATAATTAGCATTTACGGTGAGTTTAGTATACCTTCGGATTGAACATCTGCAGTAGTATCCATTTTCCTAGTTGCTGAAAACTTTTCTGTAAAAGCGTTGTAAGGGCTTTTACGTTTACGAAAGACTACTTGCGTTGCTTCACGATTAAATTCAATGGCCTCTTCAGCCTCGGCCTTAGAAATGTTTTCTGCCAGCATTAACTTTTCAACTGTCTCTTGAACCAAGTCTCTCATTCGAGCGTCAAAATCACTGATGAGTTGTCTACTTTCTTCGGAATAGTTTTGCAAAGGCATTTGAATTATAATAACAATATAGTAAAATAGTAACAACAGAAAAAGGTGCTATGGTGTAGTATGCCCCCCCCCCTCCCATGTAAAATTTTTTTTATTGTATATTAGCAGTCCTCCAAGGTGTGGTTGAGTTTAATAGGACTTACGACACTTATGACACTTATGACACTCGGGGCCTAAACAATCATTTAGATTACAAAAAATTTGCAGGCAAAAGCAGTCTTAATGATTTATTTTTTGTCTGAGTGTCGTCTTCTATGGTGGATATTTCATGCTAATCCTATGGACCGTATTCTTGGGTGGAGGGGTTCCCCCTCCCCCCAAACCACCCTCCCCTCTTGCGGGGGAAACCCCTGCACCCCCCAATTTTTTTTATCACAGCTTAAAAATTACACTGCTAAAAAAAAAAAAAAAAAATACTGTTTTATAAGATATAAGCTCTTTCATGCTAATCCTATGGGCCGTATTCTTGGGTGGAGGGGTTCCCCCGCACCCCCAATTTTTTTTTATCACTGCTTAAAAATTACAATGCTAAAAAAAAAAAACAAAAAATAATGTTTTATAAGATATAAGCTCTTTCATGCTAATCCTATGGGCCGTATTCTTGGGGGGAGGGGTTCCCCCTCCCCCCAAACCCCCCACCCCTCTTGCGGGGGAAACCCCCGCACCCCCATTAAAAATCCTAACTTTTGTAACTTTTGTGACTGAAAATTAGCTCGCCTTGTGACTGCGTAGTTACGATTCCAGTAATTTTAATATAATAATATAACTCTTCTTTGACCAATAAGGAGCAAATCCGTAGAAAAATGGATGATGTGCTTCTACAAAAAAGTGTTACAATCAGCTACTGTAGAAGATGTTTTAGCGTGATTCGCACTTTAAATAATTTGCTATTGATTAATAAATTTGTTCATTTAGTTTTCTCCCTTTCTTTCTCTTATAATTTTTTTAAGGCAGCCCGGAATTCTGCTTCGTGTTGTAAGTGCTGTTATTTAAGGGCCCTCGCAAGCACATCAAACTATTTTTTAAAGATCCCGATTAAGGACATTTTTGTGAAAGGTTACAGTTTTTCCAAATAGAATCTTTTAAAATTTTAATAATATATATGGACGATTAATAACAGCATTGAATATTTTCAGTGCTAAAAAATCCGAATTGTCCAAACGAAGAATTAAAATCTGCAGGCCCCAAAAACCTTCTATCAGATTATTTAATGTCCAAATCCGATTACTGAAATCACAAATGTTGTTTATTTTTCAATAAGAGCCTTTCATTTTTATCGATTTACTTTTTTTCTAACATCTCCATTTTATTTTACAGATATGAGTTTCCAAAATTATTCAAGTGCTGATTTCATTAATGGCCAACGCCCAAACCCTCCTGTGGTAAGAGGCGGACCCAGAGTAAACCCTCCGTCTGCTGCACAGATTCCCACTGACGTACCTGTTCCATCCTCTCTACTGGAATGAAGAGTCGTCATATTTTCTACGAGGTGTTGTCCCGTAGAATTAAGAATTTCCATTCTATCTTCTTCGAGAGATTCAGATTCTTCGTTGATTCGAACTATTAGGAGCTGCAACTGAGACACGATAAACGCAATTTGTTGTGGGGTCATCATTCTTAAACTGTAATTTTTATCTTTTTAAAATATAATAAAAAAATCGGTTAAACTGAAATTTTGTTTTTAAAAAATAAAGGAACAGATATTTTAGTAATCTGCAAAAACTTTGTTATTAATCATTCAAATTGGGTCATTTAAAAAGCAACGTCATGGATTTCAGAAAAAGATTTCTTTTGGAAGTCTGAAGTAACCTTTCAAAAAAAAAAAAAAAATTAATGTCCTTAATCGGGAACTTTAAAAAATAGTTTGATGTGCTTGCGAGGGCCCTAAGTAATAGATACCGTAGATTATACAAACTAGGTAAATATGACATATGAAATACAAATTATTATTATGTCATTACACTTTAAAGTACCAAGAATTTGTGTGTATACATTGTCATATGCTGAAGGTAATTATCATTTGAATTTCCAATACGGTTTTTCTAAAGAGTTGTATAGATTTCGAGCCGTCTTTGGACTTGAAAAGCAGGTTTAGGCTGTGAAAATTTTTCAATTAGGCTATATTTTTTTCTTTAGGCTGTAAATTTTTCTTTTAGGCTGCAATTTTTTCTTTTAGGCTGCATTTTTTTTTAGGCTGATAAAATAATTTGGTCTATATACTGCTACATCTCGCGGGACTCTCGAATGTTACCTGTATCTATAGGCGGCTATTTGGCTAGTATGGTGTTAATTGGGCCCGTTAATAGTAAGTGCAAGAAGTATTATGGAGGTAAGTGCAAGAAGTATTACGGAGGTAAGTGTACCTTATCAATTTGGAGATGATATGTACAAAAATTATAATAAATAAAGTAAAATACAAAATAAAAATTGAATAAAATAAAACGTTTTCATTTAAACCCTGCTTTTTTATTATATAATGTATTTCTTGATTGCACAACAGTATAAAGGTTCATCAGCATCAATAATAATATAGTTAAAGTGATGTAATAACGTACGTACTACGTTTTGAGTGAAAGGACGCTATATTATGGTAAAAAGACGCATCAAGTGGAATTTAGTAGCTACTAGAAGTGGTATAAATACGCAACATGCGGAAGAAACCCGCAACACTAGGTGGTAAAAACACGCAACATGTAGCAAAAACCCGCAATATTAGGTGGTATAATTTTGGAGTTTTACCACATCCGGTGGTAAATGAACCACAATTCCGCAACATTCGGTGGTATAAAATGGACGTTTTTACCACCAAATGTTGCGGGTTTTTACCACATGTTGCGGGGTTTTACCACCCAGTCCGCCACTGTGTAAGAGGACTATGGCTTGGTCTAAAAAAGGGGAAAGAGCCATCGTTGAGACGCCTATAACAAGGGCACAAACGACAACCATTTTGGGTGCTATATCTCCCCATGGAATCATTAACGTGAAAGTAAGAAGACCCTATCAATCAGTCTCAAAGAAACAAAAACTACTTAAGACACCATCTACGGCCTCTGGATCTACTGCCCCAATCAAAACAACAGGCACTGTTACTGGCCATTACTTTAACTTCATCGCTAGTACTCTTAATGTGTTGGATCAGAACGAGCAATTTAAGGGCTTTTATATTGTCATGGATAATGTTCCTATTCATAAAAATGTCGATATTGAAAGGTACATCGTTAACCGTGGATACGGCTGTGTTTACCTTCCCCCTTATTCACCTGAACTAAATCCGATTAAACAATTTCGGTCGGTTGTCAAGAGTAAATTGAAGAGGGAAAAACTTTTAGAAAAGGAAACGCTTACCACAAGAATATCCGATGCTTGTAACAGCATTCTCTTCAGTGATTTGCAGGGGTTCTGCCAATATTCTGATTCAAAATGGCAAGTTTGTCGAGACAAACTTCCACTTTAACTTTGGCACACTTTGTGCCATAATTTTTGTGCATGTTGTGTTTTGAGGTAAGTAAAATTATAAGGCGGTATTTAAGTAATTTGAGACTGTTTATAAGATTGTCTTTATTATGAAATAAAATGACTAAGTATTTATATAAAAAAGACTATCTGCTGTACCGCTATCTTTAGTGTATCTTTGAAGTTGTTACCATTTTCCCAGTGTGTATCCTGTTACCTTTAACTGCTTATTTTGTAAATATGTTACACTTGGAATTACTGTCATTGTAGACACATTGTACTTCCATATCTTTAGTAAGCCTTAGTCACTGTGTTCTTGTAACCTTGTGATATGATAGTACTAACTATCTATATTGGGTATTTGATTGCTTAATCATTCTTAATGTATTGATGTCATAAATATGGATTTATTTAATGTAGCAACAATATAGCAGATTGCCACAGTGCAATCAAAAAAATAAAATGTGACTTAACAAATTTGTCTATTGTGCCAATTAAAAATTTCATGTGTGCCAAAAGAGAAAAAAAAAGTGTGCCATTTTTTTTTGCGGTGTGTGCCAATTATTTCCACAAAAGGTGTAACGCCACTTTATTATATACAACATAACACCACTTTGGGTTCACCTATTCCATATCGATAACATTATTCACCATCATTATTATTATCATCATCATCATCATACAGCCACACCCAATTAGGAACAATACAGTTCAAATTTTTTGCACGATTTTCGAAATTTTCTTTCCCTATTTTTTACATTTACATAAAAGATTACTTATTGATTTCAAAATGACCATTTCAGAACTATCTAACACAACCCACACAACATATTTAAAACGCGAAGAAAAAAATAATTGGGGCGTTTATTGGTTGCATAAGGTGGACTACTCAATGAGTCGCATTTCAGAAGAGGTTGGCATTCCGAAGGCAACAGTGCAAGGCATCATTAAGAGAATTAAGGAAAGTGAATCACCCCTTCCTGAAAGACCAAAAGGTGCACCTAAAAAAATGAATGACAGAGATCTAAGACGGCTAGAAGCAATAACAAGACGCGAGCCGTTTGCGTCTTACGATAAAATAAACGTTCAAATTAAACTTCACCATATTGACATTTGCAGAGCTACTTTGATACATTATTTGAGACAAATAGGCTTTGGTTCTTACTTCGCAGCACATAAGCCAAGGCTAACCGAAGTTCACAAAAAAAAGACTTCGATGGGCGAAGGAACGGGTTCATTGGACCACCGAACAATGGAGAGGTGTTGTCTGGTCGGACGAGTCGCGATTTACGGTCGAAGGCAATGATGGTGGTGTCAGAGTTCATCGTAAGGTTGGTGAGAGGTATAAGAAAGATCATATTGTCGAAACAACCAAGTGGGGTAAGGGAAGCGTCATGATTTGGAGCTGTTTTTGGGCCGGTGGTTTTGGGCCTTTAGTCTTCATTGATGGCAATGTAGATCAGACGGCGTACGTCAACATTTTGACGTCAAAGTTTCACCCTTGGTTTACTGAACTGTGTGAGAAGGAGGACAGGGATTGTATATTCCAAAAGGACGGTGCCAGTTGCCATACTGGAGCTTACACAACGTGGTGGAAGAACACACATTCAATCAGGCGCTTTGATTACTGGCCCGCTCAAAGCCCTGATTTGAATCCGATTGAGCATATTTGGCATTCACTTGAGGCTCTTATAAGTGATAAAAGGGCCCGTATTAACAATGTTGATGATTTGAGGGCATGTTTAGAAGTAGCATGGAATGATATCAGCATCGATCTGGCTACTCGATTAGTTGACAGTATGCCAAACCGATGTCGAGCTGTCATTGAAGCTAAAGGAGGGGCAACAAGATTCTGAATTGTTTTTTTTTTTTACATTTTATTAAAGTATCCATGTCAAGCAACAATTCAATATACTTTCATCATGATTGAGCGAGTTTCAGATAGTCAAAAGTGCATCTTAAAATATGTCTCAATTTTCGGCATTACAAAAATTTAAAAATCGTATTGTTCCTAATTTGGTGTGGCTGTATTTATTATTATATTTATCACATCACCTATATCTTTACATTTAGTATATACAGTAGGTGGATTAATTGTCCGGATGTTTTGCAAAAAGTCACTTAGAGCATCCCCAACGGTTTTTGAATTCCAAATGTAAAATAGGACTGTTTTCCATCTGTTAAAATAAAATAGAACAGATCGACCCCAACGGTTGTAGCTAAATTTATAATCCCGTTCCTGATTTTATTTTCTTTTCTGTTCTTTTTTAAATTTTTTTGTTACAAAAATGAGTAATAACTTTGACATAATTGACAACAATGATATTGAAGATCAACTTATCCAAGAAGCTCTTCAGTATCTTATACAACTTACCGAAGATACACCCAAGAGAGGTGGATCCGTTCCTGGTCGCCGCTATGTTAATAGAAACCGTGCTGCCGGGCATGAACGTCTTTTCAACGACTACTTTTCCGATGACCCTGTTTATACAGACCAACAGTTTCGTCGTCGTTTTAGAATGAAGCGTGATCTGTTTCTGGAAATTGTCGAAGCAGTTCGATTAAAGGATGAATACTTCACCCAAAAACCGGATGCTGCTGGAAAGCCTGGACTTTCAACGATCCAGAAAGTGACCGCAGCTATGCGTCAATTAGCTTACGGTGTATCATCGGATTCCGTTGATGAGTACATCAGACTTGCTGATTCCACAGCCATGGAGTCATTGAAGCACTTTTGCCATGCGATTGTGGCAATTTATGGGGACGAATATTTGAGAGCCCCAAACAGCGAGGATGTCAAGAATCTTTTGGCAATCAATGAAGAGAGAGGATTTCCGGGTATGTTGGGGTCAATTGATTGTATGCACTGGACGTGGAAAAATTGCCCAACTACCTGGCATGGCATGTATACCGGTAAAGAAAAAATGCCAACATTGATTCTCGAAGCTGTTGCTTCCCAAGACCTTTGGATCTGGCATTGCTTTTTTGGTCTTCCGGGATCATTGAACGATATCAATGTCATCAATCGTTCCCATGTATTTGACCCCTTGATACATGGTGTTGCTCCTGAAGTCGAGTTCTTCGTCAATGGCAATAGATACGATAAGGGGTACTTTCTCGCAGATGGTATTTATCCAACTTGGTCGACTTTGGTGAAGACAATTGCAGTGCCTACGTCGCAAAAAGAGAAGGTACCAAGAGTAACAAAGATAATTTATAAAAAACTAATTTACTTGGACTTTAATAGTGTTTTGCTAAGGCACAAGAAAGTGTGCGAAAGGACGTAGAACGTGCATTTGGTGTACTGCAAGCACGTTTTGCTATTATTAAATGGCCTGCTAGACTTTGGGACTTTATCGATCTCAAGGCCATTATGCAAACATGTATCATATTACATAATAAGATTGTAGAAAACGAACGTGGTCAGGATCTTGGAACAGACTACCACATGCATTCTTTTCATGGACAAGCTTACCCTGATATGAATGATCCCGAAGCCTTTGCTGCTTTGGTGAGCCGTTTGGTTGCTTTAAAAGATAGTGATACACATAATCAGTTGAAAAAAGACTTGATCGAGCATCACTGGCAAAGACAGGGCAATATGTAGTACTTTGTTTCAATTTTATTTTTTTATTTTTTAAAAGTTTCTATTTGTCTTCTTCCAATCAGTCTTCTAATCCGTCTTCTACTTCTTCTACTTCTTCTACTACATCTTCTACCACATCTTCTACTTCTTCATCAGACGATTCGTCAGATGGTTGAGAAAGGATTTTCTCCTGTTTTTTCTCGAAGTACGCACGCTTACGAGGGTCAGTCATGACCGAAAGATCCATCGACATGATTCTTTCATCTCGAACTCTCTTGTCGAACCTCATCTTCTTGTTGGTTACTTGAACAGCCAACTTGTTCTGAAGTAACTTCTTCTGGTTCAACTCCAGAAGATCCTTCAAACGGGCGGCGATGCTTTCACCTACCTCGTTTTGGCGCTCACGCTGCTGGAGTACCTTCAGCTTTTTACACCCCATTGGGCGTGTTACATCCCCAGAAGAAGAACCCGTCTCAGTGTCTTCAATGACTTCAAGACTGCCATTGTTTTTTCTCTTAGTTACAACAGGCTTAGGCATGTTGTACATGGCCCACTTTGGCTCAGCGGATAAGATTTGCCAACAGTGTTCCAAAACAAAAGGAGCACCGTTTTTGGTCGACGTTTTGTATAGAGCATACGCCTTATGGACCTATTATGTAAAATAACAATTTAGTTCTGCTAGAATTAAGCTATAGCCATCTTACCAAATCCTGAGGACTTGATCCACTTTGCTGCACACTTCTCAAAAGAGTTTCGTAGCAGCCGGTGAACTTTTGCACGCTGGGATTGATGGTGTTCCAACGGCTGGTTACGGCAGCACTGGTACGTTCTTCGACAGCATTGTCACCGATTTTGGCATTGTAGTCGGTCTTAATGCGATCCCAAAAACTTTTGCATGTCTGACCTTTACCAATGACACCATCGGTAGCAATGGCGACAAACGAAAGGCACAACTGTTGGTCTTCGGCTCTTGACCAATTTGCTCCACGTCCTGCCTTTTTGGGAAGCTCAGGGATTGTTACTGTTTCGAAATTATCGCTCATGTCAAAAAAATTAAGGGACTAGAATAAAAGAAGAAATTTTCTAAATTTATTGATTCAATTGGAAATTTAGAATATTTGTGATAAAATTTTTAAAATATTCTATTATCCAATTGACCGTTGGGGTTAAATTATTCTAAATCTTTGTGCTATTTTGGAATAAAATGATTTTTTCACACACCGTTGGGGATGCTCTTAGTCAATTATACTTTAACAGTCACGTTTTCCTTTGGGGCAAGCGTTTGGCCGTGGACTAGACCAGATGTTTCTGTATGTGTGACTATAATTACAGGACAGTCCACTTATATTTGGTTTCCTCACTGAGTGTTAAAAAAGCGGACCCCATCCGGACAATTTATCCGGGTTCTAGAAAATACGTGAATTGTCCAGAAAGTTCTCGAAACTGGACATACACAATCACAAAAACATATTTTTTCTTGTATATAAAGATGGCTTATACAATACAAGAAGTCTTTCTATTTATAAAATTTATTTGCTTTCCTTATTCTTCTTCTCTACAATTCTGCAAGAACTAATGAAATCGCTCTCAATTGAAAAACAAAACAGTATTAAAAACCTCTTGAAATCGGGTTTTTCGTACTCAAAAATAATGGAACGTGTGCCAGGTGTTAAAAAGTCCACGATTTCGGACTACAAACGAAAGTTTTTCCCTGACATGTCACATTCAGCATCAGGTCGTCATCGCATAGTCAAGGAGACAACTCGAAATGCCATTCGAAAGAAGGTTGTACTCGGTGATCTCAAAACAGGAAAGGAGGTCGAAAAGTATCTCAATGATCTAGGAGTCAAAATCGGATACTCTGCATGTCTGAAACTACTGAAATCGATGGGTTTTGAAGCGACCGTTAAAAAGAAAAAACCTTTTCTTAGGGCACATCACCGGAAACAAAGACTGGATTGGGCTAAAGCACATCGTAGTTGGACCAAAGATGATTGGAAACGTGTAGTTTTCTCTGATGAGACTAAAATAAACATTTGGGGATCCGATGGCGTTAAGTACTGCTGGAAAAGACCGGACGACAAGTTACAGTTTCATCATCTAAATCTTACAGTGAAGCATGGAGGTGGAAATTTAATGATGTGGGGATGTATAACTTACGATGGACCTGGTTATGCTTGTCAGATATTTGATTGCACCATAAAAAAAGATGATTACATTAATATCCTGGAAACAACAATGAAGGACACGCTTGAATGGTACGGTTATGAGCCTGAAAAAATATGTTTTCAGCAGGACAAGGACCCGAAGCACACTTCTAAGCTAACAAAGCAGTGGTTTAAAGACAACAACTTTAATACGGACTGGACTTATAGCTGGCCACCTCAGAGTCCCGACTTAAATCCAATCGTGCACGTCTGGCACCACCTAAAATTGAAGTTGAGCTCGTATACATCAAAAGCAAAAGGTGTTCATGAACTATGGGAAAAAGTCGAAGAACAGTGGAATAGCATTACAAAGGAAGACAGCCAGAGATACATAGATAGCATGCCAGCAAGAATTGAGGCTGTTATTAAAGCCAATGGTGGTCATACAAACTACTAAACTGGTCATTTTATACCCGGATTAATTGTCCGGATGATGTAGTGTAATTTAAATACTTATAAATTTAATCTCAGATTTTCCATAATAATAACAAATATTGTACGTTACACAGTACAATTTTATCTTTTTAACCATAAAACGTTTTTGTCATTTGAATACTTGGGTCTTTAGATATCGTTCTTTTTGTCATTTTTCTAAGAACATCCGGACTATTAATCCACCTACTGTATATCCCTTAACATTAGAACAATAAACCATTATCTTCTATTTTAGTATTAAATACTTATTTACCTATTTCCCTTCTAATTAACCACTGAGAGTTGAATTAGAATTATATTGAAACTTACATGTTTGTAAACCTCAGATGTCCAGTTGACCCTTACGTAATAATTCAACACGTGATAATCACGTGAACCTAATCTTATTGACCAGGAGAGTACTGTTTAAAGTACAAGTACAAAATAAAGTATGAGATAAAAGATGTTGAGGATAACATAATAACACACCTAGAGTAGAACTATCGGAGATGATCCAATAAGGACATGATTCCATATAATCACACTGGTGGGAATTAGTTGCTCCACAATTTACCTCTATCAATAAAACAATGCTGTGTAACGTGTATCGAGCGAAGAGTCTCATAGGAACTGAGCCATACGTATATGGAAATGAGTGCTATTGTTTGTATAATTGTTTATTTACTTCTTTATATTTATTTATTTCTTGACCTCGGTAAACTAAGATTGGTAAATCATAAACCTGTTTACGTGGCTTTGGTCTTTCCTTCTTCCTTCTGCCTTCTTTTCCCATATTTAGTAGAACCGTCAATTAAGTGATGACTGTCAAGGTTTTGCTTGTTATGGAATCACCGGTGCTGGTCACTGTCAATACCCTCCTCTTGATACCTTTCAAATTATATATAAATACCCCTTGATAGTTTTGTAGAGTTATCTCTATCTTCTTTTTAAATAAAATTAGAGACGACTTAGTCGTAACAGTACTTGCCCTTTCCCTTTTTTCTATTTCACAACAAAAGATACTGTTTTATCTAAAATATGATGGGGATATTTATACTATCTAGTTTGGTTGTTATTTCATATATACGTAATTGTTTTATAAACCAAAGTAGTTTATAACTTTGTCTTGTTGGTGTTATGAAATATAGCCTTGTTTTCTTAGTTGGTCTTGTCTTATTTAATTTTGGTTTGAATCTTCGTTTGGGTCTTGTGATTTCCATTGCGTCATAATAGTTCTCGGTACCGGGCTCTTGTACCCGAACTATTTTATTGGCTGAATTGGTTCTGACATATTTAATACGGTCGTATTTTGGTGTTGTGTTTCGCTTGAAGTTATAAAGCACGTGACTTTCACGTGTTTGGTTTACAGTATGTATTGTAAAGAAGTAGGAGAAAGGTTGTTGAAGATTTTGGAAGGTGTTATGAAGGTTAACGTCGAAATGAGCGAGGAAGAAGTTCAGTGGTGTCTAAGGAGTAAATTGTTTTTCTGGTTGTTGTTGCGCTTGGAAGATCGGGTGCTAAAAGTCCGAATGAATTTTCTAGAAGTCACGTCAAATTTGAAAAATCCGTCTTCTATTTTTGATAAACCCAGGGAAGCGGTTTTTGCTAGTCGTCGCAGTTGGAATAGGAGTTATTGTCGTATTTAATATTTCTTGGGATGTTGTTATTTGAATTTTTGACATCTGATTTTATTTTATTCCCTTATTTTATTCTTATAGTTTCATTTATTTTATCCGTATTTTTAGCTTATGATTTATTTGTTTGACAATGGTCGATCTGATCTTGTATTTATATTTTTCGTTGTATATTTTTGACAGCTATAAAAGCTTATTTTATTGACAGTGAATAAACGTTATCTTTTCCCTAGTTTATATTATTTATATTCTATTATTTTTGATACATAACTTCTTTGGCAGCTCTCCATCGCTTACTAGTGCATTTAATCTCTTTCTCTGTTTGTATAATCTGATATCAAGTCTTTACAGTCTCCTTGAACCATCATTTTATATGTTGTTTATTCTCGTACTATACACAAGGTAAACATAAAAGACAGGCAGATCCATATCAAGTGGTCCGATCTACCAGAGAAGGTTATTGACTCGTATTCAAGTTTTATAGTACTCTTTAATATTTTTTGTAATGGCCCCTCCAAATTCTGATCAAGTAGAAATTATCAAGAAACCAAATTGGCGTATTGTCGAGCGAAAGAATTTTTCGGGTGTCTCAGTTGTCGGTGAAGACATGGGAAACGAAGCGTATGTTTAGTTGAAGAAAATGGAACGCTACAAGAAATCTGTTAGACTTTCAGATGAAGAAGCTCTTTTCGTGGTCGGTGATCATTTAACTAAGAAGGCCGAAACGTGGTTTAATGTTGTTGGCGTTAAGGCTACTTCTTGGTCCCAGTTTGTCCTATTGTTTAAGAAACAATATTTAGTTGACCGAGAAGACAAATGGTGGTTTTTGTGGCCGTATGCTTGTAGATGGGGGTATGCTGTCCAATAAAAATGCAGAAAAGAGTGTAAGGGAGTTTGAATAGTGTAAGGGAGTTTAAAAGAAAACGGGCTGCTTTGATAGCCTAAATACAGCTTCTAATATGTAGGCCAATAAGAGGGCCATGAAACAAGTGTAAGGTAGCCAATAAGAGAACAAAAAAGAGTGTAATGGAGTTCAAAAGATACATTTTCTGGTTTTCACGCATTAATAATACGGATGAAATACCATCACCTTTTTTAATAAGCTTGAGTATTCAAGTTACTAACGGTTCCATAAGAAAATACGAGAGAGCAATGGTTGGAGATAATAGTGCTATTAGTGCAAAAACACTAGTCATATGTAAAGCTGTCAAAAAAGAAAAAAGAAAAAAGAAAAAAAGAAAAAAAGAAAGAAAAAAAATTCAGTAACGTTCTTTTGATTGATCTAGTTTCATCTTACCTCAAAGTAACCGATGGGAAAGTTTAATTGCACTAAATCACGAGTAACAAAAGACAGAGTACGTCCTAATCGTGGACGTCCTTTCGGTACAACCAATGCAACTCTTATTAGAAATCACAGTGCGAACCAGTCTAGAATGACGGCCTTTTTGACTAACCAAAGTAATACTACTGCTTCCACAGACAACATTACCTCTGTGTCAAACACGAATCCCGAAGATCTTATTGAAACAAACGTTATTCCTGAGAATACAACGGCTACAGATAAAGAAGTAAGAAATGACCCTTCTTTACGATCCACATACATTCTAAAACACTAACGCCGGTTTGAGATAATTCCATCATTTTTATCTTCTAGGAATAATAATACCGGCCGCCAAAACACAACTTCAACCGAGTTAAGCGAAAGCGACAATGTAGAAATAAGAGAGATATCAAACGATCAGGAACAATCCTCTTCAAATGATTTCCAAAACGCAACAACTGATGTTTTCGGAGAAGAAGAGTTGTTGGAAGAACTTGACGAAGATATGATACAGAAGATTGATAGAGATGCTGGATTGGTACAAGAGAACAGTGTTATCGATAAATTTTTAAAGAGCATTCAAGATAGAATAAAAGAGGACAATAAGAAGGACCCACTTCGATTTCCAAAGCGACCAAAACAATACCAAAATGGAACCTTTTGGGTACAAAGGAAGAGTCCTGTCTTTGCCCTAAAAGATCAGTTAGAGTTAACACCAAATGTCTTATACCAGCCAAGAGTCTTTTTGTGGTTTCCTCACCACCTTGTTTCAAATTTAAAATGCCCAAAATGTAGTACACCTACCACGTTTTTTGTTAAAGAATGGAATACATGTCCTAGAGCAAGAAGAATTACTGATTTAGATGAGTAAGTATTTAGCTATGTCATTTTTAGCGGTTATCTTTGTAGACAACTTACATTAAATTTTATTAAGCTCTTTCTACGTGATGACTGTAAAATACAAATGCACCAACGACAAAACACCCGACTCTTTCAACGGATATGATAAGGGTTTAGTGCAACAGTTACCTAGAATTTATGCCAAAGAATTTCCAGCCATTTTGACCGAATCTTCTGGAATATCTACTAGGCTTGCAAAACTTATGCGACCTTTATTTCAAAGCGGTGTTGGACCACAGCGACTGAGTAAAGTATTACGAGTTATACATACTGAACATATCGATGAGCTTCAATTCCAGTATTACAAAAAAATGGTTGAAAAATTACAAAATCCCACCATGATTGACTGCCTAAGAAAAAAGAGAGATGGTGGCAGTGTGTCGTATGATGAAATTTCTTCATTTGGTGATAAGCAAAAGTATGCAGGATATATTCCTTGCGCTAACTATCTTAGTCATGTTTATTCGTCGCTTATTGAAGAATTTGTCCTATTCATGGACCAGTTGACTTCAATGACTGATGGAATTATATTAAAGGGAGATCACTCTTTTAAAATAATTAAGCACATGGGCAAAACAAACGGTACATCTGTGTTTTCTTCTCTTTACACTGTTATGAACGAATATGAGGAAATACGAATGCAAGTGTTGGCTCACACAAAATCTCTTAAGGAACTATCCGGAAGTTTTGGGTCTATGATGGAAAGTTATCGACGTTATGAATTTGATATGCCACTGGTGTTTTATACTGACAACGTAGCTGCAGACAAAAACACACTCGAGGCTTATATTCCTTCTCTTTCAGACAATGTACGAGCAATTGTGATTGACAAATCTACAGGCGATGCAAATGTATCAAGCCAAGATCAGTTTCCTCCAGCAGTATTGCCTGAAAGTATCGCAATCGAAATAAGAGATACAGCGCAGGGGATAGATGAATCGTGTCAGAAAATTTTAGATACTATTGATGTTGACGATAACAGCAGCGAGATTTTTGTCGGATTTCACTGTGAATGGGTCGCTCCCAAATTTTAGAACAACCCATGCCCCAATAAGCCATGTTGCTTTAGCTCAAATTTATCATGAGGAATCAAATACTATCTTCCTTTTCCGAATCTTCAGCTTTGATCGCGATACATTTCCTGGAAAACTCAAAGAAATCATAGCTTCCAAAAGAATAAGAAAAATTGGAAAAAATGTTGGTGGAGATTTGACAAGATTGAAACGATATGTTTCTGAGACCAATGGCGAGCTAGAGCTTGGTACTTACTGCTTCAGTCGTAATGCTATTAGCAGCAGTAGAAAATTACTGAGTGACATATGTAATGTTATTCTTAAAATTCATCTTCCAAAAAGCAATGATGTTAGATTAAGTAATTGGGAAGCTCTGGAGTTAAGTGATCAGCAAAAACGATACGCATTTTGGGATGCATATGTAGCGATTGCCGTTTACAATTCTGTAAAAGGAATGCAACTGGTGAATAAATATGTTACAAAAAATACTCCAGTTGGTACGTTTGTTGTTGTATTCCCACGAAGTGCATCGAAAGCGGTGACAGCGGCAGCTTTTGGCTACATTGCTGACTCTAATGATCCTGAAAGTCATGATTTTTCTTTACAGAATTCTATTTTTACTCCCCTGGAAAAAACTGATATGGCTCTCATCAAGTTCGTGAAAGTTAAACGTCCTGGATTAATTTTGGATAAATACAAAGCAGCGAATAGTGGATGTGAAGACAGAAGTGTTACTTTGGAGATGTTCGGAGACGTGCCCTTTCTTGCATATGTGGAATACAAATGCCTGCGTACCGCCTCTGAATCTATAAATCTCAAGGATATACATTCGGAGACTCTTACCGAGTCAACCGTTCCTGCAAATATATCTTTCTCGTCTAGTAACGCGCCTGTTCGACTGGATGAACATAAAAGTACTTCCGAAAAAGCAACGGTTCCTAGTAGAGTATTAAAGGATGCTTTTCATTTGATCGAACAGATACCTATATCTCTAAGACATGGTATGGCAAAGGATTTCAAACGCAGGTTTAGAGATTGTCTTTTTGCTGTAAATGAAGAAGACAAAAAGAAAGTAGAGGAATATGTGATCAGCATTGGCTCAGATCGGGCAACTCATTTAGTTAACAATCCAGATTTCATATGGGAGCGGGTTAGAAGAAGTATACCGCCGCCAAATGAGCTCGCAAGCCTTGTTCAAGATTGCTTTGATAAATATGCTAATCTTGTATGTATAAAAACGGGACACCCTCTATTTGATAAAGAGTCTATATTAGCATCAAAAAGAGTGATGGATCAGATTGAGGCTGGATATGTGTCTGATATTGTTGATGGCCCGCCTTTGTACACGGAGAAAGGTTTCGATAAAAATGGTTTAATGAGGTATGCTTGTAGTAGAGGTACTTCATCTGTGGAAGGATCCTGTCATTTCAATATTATCAGAAAATTTTCGTCTTTTAATGCTGGGCCAAGACTCACTAATATGGCTCTTTATGATTACCGTCTGTTTCACAACATTAATGTAAGTTTAAATGTAATTTGTTTAATTTAAGCTATTATTAACGATGTGCCATTTCATAGATGGGCTCTAAAAACCGCTACGGTATTATTCACAAAAGTCATTATAGCCCTTGGCTATTTCAGTCTATTGATGCTCTGCGTTCTAAAGTTGGCCATCCAATGCGAACTGATTCCCATTTTGGAAGTAGTATGTTAGAAAGCGCTTACTTATATCGTCATACAAATGAAAAATTTGGCATATCACCAATTCCTTCTCATATCAAAAATGACCACCTGATGCTTCCCTATGACCCTAATACGCATTTTCAGTCTGGCCTACCTGAAAATAACCCAAATATCAAGTCAGTCAATAACAAAAATTCATCAAAACGCTTTTTAGAAGAAAAAAAGAGAATCACTTGAATTGATTCGCCAAAACAAGAATCACTGAACAAAGAATTTTTGAACTTAGCGCTATACCTATAGTAAAACTTCCCAACATGTACTATGGATCCCATCAGTTTATTTATCGATATCTGAGCAAATGTCAAGGAACCAAATATGCAGTAACTGCGGTACATACTCCCCAAGAAAAATCATTATTTGATCTTATGTTGGATGATTTCAATGAAAACTCAAAATACGCATACCTTAAATCTGCCAATGGCATTGTGAACTTTGGATTAATGGCAGCCGCTTGGTCCAAGATATGCTCCTCTACCAACTTCATATACTACAAAACGCCTGAGCATCTTTGCTCTTATAATAATATACTTGAAGATAGACGAAAGTACCGTGATACAGTAGCGCACAACATAGTAGCATCAAGATCAATTCGTTTAGCTACTCAATCTAAACGAAGATACAATACATCCACAGCCGCCAAAAAGTACAGAAGACTTGAACCTGCTGTTGACACACCTAACGGAACAATCACTCCAAGTAGTGATTGCTTAGAACAAACGACTTCCACACCTATCAACATTGCACCTAGGCCACCTAACGTGCCTCCAGTTTTAAATAGCGATGTTTTTTTGTATTTTTTAATTGCCTAAAACTTTCCCAAATCAACCGATATACCACTGCGAATCAAAAGATATTATTTTAAGAGTCTTTATAAACAATATCTTATGAATAAAAAAATACTTTTACTGCAAAAAAAAAAGTTGTAGGACATCTAAGTTGGTCGCTTTTCAAAAAATTAAGCGGAGGCGTATAAGTGGGGTTGGAGATTTTAAACACTACTCTGCGCACCCCATTAAGTTCATTCTCCGTTCATGTAAGTGTCAGCCAATAGAATGGACTTAATCCTACTGAGAAATGTGTCATAAATTTTTTCCCCGAAAAAATCCCAGTCCCACTGGAATCCCTAACATGGCAGATCTTGTAAATGCTTAAGGTTTTCCAAAAATAAATTCTATGAAATATTTAGTTACATAAAACAAAAGAGAAAACTATGTACAAGAATGCCTTATGATTCCTTTTTTTAACTTTTAAGAAAAAAAGTGAAGTATTTACGACTTCTTTCATTTTCGTTCGTTACATCACTACGTCGCGCATGTAGTATTACCCCTGATACATATTCTTTTTTGGGTGAGCCGATTTGACATATTTTTAAAGTTTTAAGGTTTTTTGAATAAATCCTCTACAAATTGTTTAGATATAAATTTAGGTAGCTAAAACTGTATACAATCATGTCTTAAGGTACCTTTATTACTTTATATAAAAATAAATGCTGAGAGTCTTTTCATTGTCGCTCCTAAAATCAAACGGGGACAATCTTACGCGTCTGACGAATGTTAAATGCTCCTTTTTATACTTTTTGCAATTTTTCTATCATAACATGCCCAGACCTAACAAAAAACAAAAGGCTATTAGAAACAGACTTAGAAGAGAAGATGGATGCATTCGATCTGCCGAAGTGGTACTCGCTGAATGGGAAATCATTGAATTAAATCACGATCAACTAGTCGAGCAAGCCGAGGTTGTAAGAGCTGAGGCGAGTTCTCTTGATATTATTTCAGATAGCAATACAGAAATAAGTAAAAGACCACTTACGTACACTGGTACATCCAGAACAACAAAATGGAGAAAGAATGCCGAGGCTGCAAAGGTAGATCCAGCTCAGACTCTTCAACGTTTTGGATTTACTATTGCAAAAAGTGTAGAAACTCAGCAATTAACAAAGTTCATTCCTCACACGGAAAAAGAAATCGAAGGCATCAAAAAAATTATGCCTGCTGTCAAGGCTCTTATTTTACCCGTAATGAGTAAGAAGAACGACGATAATGCTCGTGCATCATACAACAATGCTAGGTATTTATCTGTGTACGAATATTGCTTGAATCGTTTGGGTGGAAAAAAGAAAAGGATTGGCTTCAGAAGAAGCAGCCGAAAAATTCTGGCCCCAAAATTCAAAGGAATACCGTGGGATGACCATTGTCAAGTGGACAAAGGAGTTCATTGACGAGGGTAAGCTTTCTGACCACTCGCAAGGCGCCCATGTTAAGAGAGTATCACTTTTAAGTGACTCGGATGTCAAGTTGGCCGTTTTGGAAGAAATTCGAAAGATGAAACCAGCTCTTCGTTCCTTGATTATCATTAAAAAGATTATCGACGAGCAAATCATTCCTTCTGTTCTTGGTGTGGCTGAAAGTGACTTAAGTATGACAACAATTTCCCGTTATTTGTACGAATGGGGATATTCATACCGAAAAAATAAAAAGACTATTTTTTTCGATGGCCATGAAAGAGAAGATGTGATCAACTACCGAGATGAATGGTCTAAAAGAATGGTCGAATACATGAAAAGATCAGAATTGTATGCTGGTGACAATGAGAAGGAGATTCTTGAGCCAGTTCTAGATGAAGGTATAAAACAAATTGTGTTTGTTACGCAGGATGAATCCACATTTTATGCAAATGATGGTAAGGATGATCTGTGGTTGTTAGAAGGTGAGAACCATATCAGAAAGAAGGGCCCAGGATCGTCAATAATGGTCAGTGAATTTCAATGCCCTTGCCATGGAACCATGAAGAGTGCTGGTTGGACTTCTAGAAGATTTTTCAAAGCAGGCGTGGGCAGAGAAGGGTACTGGAAGTACACTGACATGTTGGAGCAGCTTCAAGACGATGCAATCCCTTTGTTTGAGCTGCTCCACCCTGGTTGTCAAGCTGTTTTCCTCTTTGACAACAGTTCCAATCGCAATGCATTCGGTAATGATGCTCTTGTTGCAAATCGTATGACACTTAATGAGAAGCCATACAAAGACAACGAAAAGTATCAGTTCAAAGACACGACTGTAACTTTAACGGATGGCACCCGCTTGGAGCAGTCTTTCTTTTACACCAAGAAGACCAGTGTCACCAACAGACTGGGGTATGTCGTGAAGACAAAGGAGACACGATACTTTAAAGGTATTCGAAAGATTTTGGAGGAAAGAGGCCAATGGCTTGGTCGTGATCTGGAAGGCAAGGTTTGGAAAATGCTATGTAAGTCGAAGGAGCCAGGCCACAGATCAATGTGTTGTGCTCGTCACTTTCTTGAAAGTAGACCCGACTTTGTGGCGCAAAAGTCGGCTTTGCAGCAAGCCGTTATTGACTCAGGTCACATTTTTGAGTCATATCCAAAATATCATTGTGAATGCAACTGGATAGAAATGTACTGGGGTTCCGCCAAAAGGGAGGCACGTTTGAGATGTGATTACACATTCAAGTCTCTTGATGATAACTTATCAAGCTATTTGGATAAAGCTTCCAATGTAGTTCATAAAAAAGGATTTTTTCAAAGGTCTATGAACTACATTGAAGCATATAGTAACTGTAGTGACAGTAGAGAAGTCGTGCAGGAAGTAAAAAAATTTGTCAGCAAGTCCTATTTATCTCACAGAAAAGTTAGACTTGATACTGGTTTATTGACTTAATAAAAAACAAATTGCACAATGAGCATGGTCACAATCAGTCAAAACCATTAAGAATGAACATTCAGATGTATGTCTAGCTTAAGGATTCTACAAAAAAAAAAAACACATGCCACCATTTCGATTTCGAAAAAAAAAATTTGAAACAAAATCCAAAAAATTGCTATTTAAAACTGGAGGCACGTTAAACAGATATTCATATGAGATTAAATCTCAGTACAATCATAATTGTACTGATGACGTCCATCTCGAGATCGTACAGTCACTATATTAAGAATCCGCAATAATTACAAAGAAGCTATCCCGGTCAATTAAGATCCTTCTTCGCTTTTTATCAAATTAATAAAGATCCTTTATTTGTGTCTCATAGACTTTATAAGACTTTATTTAAAATTAATTAGTGAATACCGCTTTTGCCACAAATATTGTTGTGTTAGCTTTTATATTGTTTTATCGTAGATCATTTTACTACAATACCTGAGTCACCCACTTTGATATACGTGAATCGTAATGCAGAATCACATACGGTAGTAAGCTTCACGGAATATTTGTTCTTTCTATCCCTGAACATAGCACCCACGGTTGGTGAATGATAAAGTTCTTATAATCCACAGCACCAATCACACCATTCAATCTATCCCCAGTGCTACTCCCAAAACCGACAGCGATCGCATTGGCTCTGATAGGGTCTGATGGCCATGTAAATAAATGACCAAGTTGATCCTTAATTGCTTTGAGTGTTCTTGGGGTGAAGTTGTTATAACTACCTGATGAAACACCCAAAAGCATATACGCTTGGCGATATCCGATATGGCAATTAGCCAACCGAAATAAAGCCGTTGCGACTTGGATATAAATCCGAATAGTATTCGGAGCAACAAGATTGAATTCTTCGTGTGCCGAAAGCTCGTTCACCAAATGCTCAAAAGCACGCTTACCCATACGGTAGTTCGCGCGATAACTACTGACCTGGTTTTCGTCATTGTCATTGAGGAATGGGTGTTCCAATCTCCAAAAGTGGTATCGACGCGATTTACGTCTATCATCAGCACTAATTACTGTTCTTGTTCTTTCTACATGTTCGCCCATCATGAAAATGGGGAGATTGTTAATAGAAACTCCATATTGATTGCGGTAGTTGCTGGCAATAAAATCATATTGGAGACGTTCTGCTTGGTAAAGTTCTCTACTGGAATGAACAGTCGTCATATTTTCTACGAGGCGTTGTCCAGTAGAATTAAGAATTTCCATTCTATCTTCTTCGAGAGATTCAGATTCTTCGTTGATTTGAACTATAAGGAGCTGAAACTGAGACACGATAAACGCAATTTGTTGCGGGGTCGTCATTCTTAAACTGTAATTTTTATCTTTTTAAAATAATAAAAAAATCGGTTAAACTGAAATTTTGTCTTTAAAAAATAAAGGAAAAGATATTTTAGTAATCTGCAAAAACTTTATTATTAATCATTCAAATTGGGTCATTTAAAAAGCAACGTCATGGATTTCCGAAAAAGATTTCTTTTGGAAGTCTGAAGTAACCTTTCACAAAAAAAAAAAAAAAAAAAAAAGAAAAAAGAAAAAAAAAATTTAATGTCCTTAATCGGGATCTTTAAAAAATAGTTTGATGTGCTTGCGAGGGCCCCTAATCTCGTGGGGAGTTTGAGCAAAAATCCTGATTGCCTTTGTCCTTACAAGTAACACTTGTGTGATCAGGTGAGTGACACACTCTGCAGGGTTCCTTACAATCTTTGGAGATGTGACCATGTCCTTTACAATTGTAACAGTTGTCCGAGGGTCTTTCTTCCACCTTTCTTCCATCAGCTTGGTTATTGGATCCACCATCTAATCTCTTTTCCAAGTGGTCCACTAGGTCTATAGTTAAGGCAAGATTGTTTTCAATCACGTCCAACTTGTCAAGCTTCTCTAATTTCTTAAATAGGATTTCCCATTGATTGGAGTTTTCCGCCTTTTCCGTGTAACCACGAGGAGCTCTTGACCCACCATAATCACCATTATTTCGTTTCAAGATAGTATTCACCTGTTGAGGCTCTTGTACCTTAATAACCTCCTTGGTGAGACCTGTAACCGTGCCCGTGTTGTTGTGACATTGTTCTGCCCATCGCAATAAAGATTCCAACCCTTCGAAGGTATTAACCTTGGTCTTGTCCAGATTGTTATAGGGATTCTTCTCAATATAATCACAGAACTTCTTGACTTCAGGTAATAGACCCTTTCTGATCTCCTTCACCGTTTGCTTTTCAGTACGACTAGCGAGTTCCACTGGATCCAACTTTCTGAGTAACGCACGCTTAATATTCATGAATTCCCAAGGAGATTCGGACTTAAGTTGAACACGGTCTTCGTACGCTTCTTCGTATTTCTCGAACCATTCTGCAGTAATGAACTTTGCCGAAAGTTGCTTGACCAGACAAGCACTAGTACAATCATCGAATTTCATCTTCTTGTATTCTTCCAATCCCCTTTTGAAAGTGTTCAAGAACCATTCTCTAGCATAGTGGGTAAGACACCTGAAGAATAATTCCTTTCTTCTGTCCGTAGACACCCAGTTATTCCAAGAAGCCGCTTCATTAAAGTCCTCCAAAAACTGAACAGGATCCTGTCTATCACCACTAGCAAATGTAGGCGCACTCTTTGCGCTAGTTTCGCCCAACACCAAAACTGAATTTCCTTCCGTAGCCATTTTTTTGTTGTTGTTGTTGTATTGTTCTATAACCTTGTGAATCTTTAGTTTAATTATATTCCAAAATAGCAGCACGCCCAGCTACTCCACCAAATGTTGCGAGGGGTCTATATCTACCTCTTGACTAGATAACTGTTTCTAATTAAACGTTGTTTTTAACTACACCAATTTGCAATGATATGTAAAAGGATATAGTCTCGAATTTATATATAGAAAACGAACAAAAGAAAACTTTATATAATAATAAAAATGTGAATTTATGAATAAGGATCTGTAGTACCTAGTTCCTCGACCATTAGAGAAAGATAGAATAATACCCTTCTCACACCCCATTTCAGCTTGTGACCTGTGGTATTTGACAAAATATTACATAGAAAAGTAATGAGATAAAAGTATATTTTTATTAGAGGTAAAAATGGACTAAAAGAACTCTGCTGCTATGAAATAATTGATCCTTTTTATATTGCACAACTCTCCTGAGTTTTAATGATGAGTCAACCTTTCTGGTTTTGGAATAGATCTATACTTTGTTTCCCGCCTTGGATTAAATGGATACTACTCGCTAGAATTGTTTCCAGTTAACGTTGTCCCATATCAGTGGATCGGGAGCATGAGCAATCTAATAAATCTTTAGTATGACGAGACACTTATTTATCAGATCATGCAACGGTTACTGTAAAAGATGCATACTTGTTTGTCAAGTGTAATTGGCAATAGAACATAATAGTTGATCATTTATTCATTATCTTTGTAATGAATAAATTACGATCCCAAATATAAAATGTCTTATCGATATTTGTATATTTGGTTGTAGAAGCTAGGTATCCATTAATTCATACACTATTTCTTTATACTCTTTATCAGCAGTATAACTATATCAATATATAAGTAAATGAACCATTTATATTAATAGTTGTTTTATTCTCTCTCTGGGTAGCTAATCCATTGAGAGAACTATTAATATTAAGTTTCTCTTTCTTATAATTCTTGATTGATCTGAGAAGTTTCTTTTCTCGATCGGTGATATCGTAACTCAGTGGTATAGCATTCTGTATCCAACTGTCATTCGTATATCGTATTTAGGCCAATCATGCAATCTTTTATATAGAAGTATGTACTCGAAGTAGGAGAAGTTGTATAGCAGTATAAAAGCGTATGCTGATATGCAACATCAAAGGTTGTTTAAATTTTATTGTTTTTTTATTTAAACGATTTGCTTAATTATTCTTAAGTGAATCGTACCCAAATACGACATGACCGCTTGTATCATTTTGTTTACTAAATATCTTTCTATGACCGCTCACCACAAGATCCATCGTAGTTTTATATGATGGACCATTCATTTGGTTTATTGAAGATCGTAAGATAGCTGTCCTTGATTTATTATTGTTCCTTAGATTCTCTGATCTCTCATTTGTCGGAGCCTACACTCGCACCAAATTTTTATCTCTTTTAGGGTGTTCTCAAGCAAATTATTTAAAATTTTAAAATAAATCCTTTAATTAAAATCAAAAGTCACAAAAAAACACAACTCCAATTTGGTAAAATGCTAAACTGTCATTTGTACATGGCACAGACGCCAATGTTATTTTATTTCTTTCTTGTATTCTTATCAAAATAAACATACTTTACCTTTGCCTCTACCTATTTTAAAAATGAACAACCAAAATAATGCTTCTTACCCTATTGATGGTCAGCCTGAGAGCAGCCAGAATGGAATCGTTGGACGTGGACGTGGACGTGGACGTGGAAGTGGAAGTGGACGTGGAAGTGAAAGTGGACGTGGACGTGGACGTGGAAGTGGAAGTGGACGTGGAAGTGGAAGTGGACGTGGACGTGGACGTGGACGTGGACGTGGAAGTGAAAGCCAAAATGAAGATGATTTCGAAGGCTCACAACGCTTCAGAGGATCTGGATGGGGACTAGCGGAGACCTTGTTGCTTATTGAAAGGTATAATGAGCACTTCCATGCTATGGATTCGGCTAGAAGCTTGGCGGAAAAAAATGAAATTTTTGATCTTCTTGCGAGTGAATTTCATGCAGCAAATGTTGAACGTGCTCCTCGGACCGACGAACAGTTGAGAAGCAAGTGGGCAAATCTTTTGCAGGATTTCAAAAGAAATTACGCCACCCGTAATTCTACCGGACAAGCAACACCCGCTCGTTCTATCATTTATGACAAATTATATAGCATTCTGAAAGACTTACCTTCATATTTTCCAACCTGTCACTTTTTCCTCAATTTCAGGGGAGTTCAGAACAAGAATTGAAGATGCTCCTGAGGATGATGACAATTTGGAGCCTGAGGTTGTTGGTGGTCCTAGCCAGAATACTGCCCATACAAACACTGCAGACGATGTGTTACGTACTGTGGATACCCAACCTACAACAGCAGGTAATGTACGTTCCGAGGGGATCTTTGCTGTCGGTGAACAAGATCAACCTCCCACTGCAAGACGCAGATTAGAGACACCCCGTGTGTCAACAGCCATCACATCCCCACCAGCAACAACAACAGCACCATCAGCACCATCAGCACCACCAGCACCAGCACCAACAGCACCATCAGCAACACCAGCACGCGCATCGGAGCCCTTTCAACCTACCCAGGTAAGAGTAGCTTCGATGTTGCCTTTACCATCGGCGTCTGAACAACGCATCGAGAACAGCATGTTGCGTGTCTTGGACCGGGTGCAACAAACTCAAGCTTTGGAAAGGGACAACCACTTTCAGTCCTTTCTTCAGTATAGTCGGGAGGCCAATGCTGCATTACTTGCACGTAGTGATCGATTGGCAGAACTGTTTGCTCAAAGTAACAGGGAAACAACAAGACTTGTTGATGCAATCCTTCAGGATATGGCCAATCGAAACCAACAGGGTCAAAATAATAATAATAATACTGATCAATAAAAATATATAATTTTGTTACAAACATTACTGGTTTATTGTTGAGGAGGCATATAGGGGTTGATGTTGTCCCTTCTAGTTTGACCATTCCGATAGGCGGTGCTGTTGACTGACTGACTAAAACTATCCGGCCTAGCAGCAGGCTCATCGCTCGTCACATCGTTCGGCTCATCTTCTACTAATTCCAGAACAGGGTCATTCATCTCAATACACAGATTGTGTAAAATACAACAAGCTGTGATAATACCCACAATATCGCCGGTATCCTTGATGTATATATGTTTGCTGAGGAATCTCCAGCGAGAAACCAATATACCAAAAGCTCTTTCAATGGCCATTCGAGTTGACGAATGGATCTTGTTGAACTTTTTTTTGGCCAAAGCATCATCAGATCTTCCAAGGACTTCCGAAGCAGGATAAGGCACAATTATATGGTGCGATAGTGGGTATGCCGAGTCTAAAACATATTTAGTTTTTTTCGAAGATTTTATTCACGCTTATATATTTTACCTGCAAGGATATACCCATTCAAAGGAAAGTACTCTTGGGGGTTTTCCAAGGCAACTGTTGCTATCTCGCTGAGGTTGAAAGCAGCAGCATCGTGTGAACGACCTATGTCAAAACGATCAACATCATTGCATACAATCGGACAAATAAATTATTACCTGAATCACCAACCGAAATGTAAGTAAACTTACTCTTATCATCACATACTGCCGTAAGTTTCATGGCAAAGTCTCCCTTACAATCCCTCCAATCCTCGGCATGTTCCGTTCTTGATTCAATCACAAAGTTCTTGCCGTCCAAAGCTCCAACAGCTGGTAGACCCCGAACAGTGCGGCCTATACCATACTGGAAACCATGTTTGATTGCAGCGACACGCTGCTCGTCCTTGGGCCATTCGATAAGATGCTTGAATTTGTTAACAACGGCTTTTACAAAACGTTGCGTAAAGTTTCTGTAACTACCGTGAGAGACTCCTATAGTCAAGTGGGCGCAGCGATAGCCAACGTGACAGTTAGCTAAGCGCCAAATTGCACATGAAATCTGGACGTATGGAGGGATAAAGTTTACAGCTCTAGACTGAAAAGCGGGATCTCTGCATAGTTCGTTTACCACCCTTTCGAACGTAGTGCGGTTCATACGGTACATGGCGCGATAGCTGGTTCGTGGATTGTCGTTATCAGTCAAAAAAGGGTGAGAGATGCGGAAGTAATGGTAGTTGGCGAATGAATGGCGATTGTTGGCCGGCTCAGTTGGGTATGTTAAATGAGATTGAATGAGAAAAGGCGTCAACTCAAAGAGAGAGGGCGAATCTAAAAACGTGGTCTTGTAATAAAGAAACACCTGTTCGTTCAATGCTATTTGACTCTCAATGAGCTGCTGGTATATAGCGAGAACTAAGTTGCGATGGTTGCAAATAAGTTGGTAGTAGTAATATAATTTATCGTTGTAAGACATTTTTAGTATTTGTTATGAAAGAAAAGAATTCCCAGACAAAATGAGTGATGTGATTTTAGTACTTTTTCGATTTAAAATGATATTTTAATGTCAGAAAACATTTTTTAAAATTTGACCCCTCCATAGTGGTGGGGTCAAATATTTTTAATTAAAATCAAAATTTTAAAATTTTAAATAATTTGCTTGAGAACACCCTTAGGCAGGAGAATACATCCCGATTTTATTTACTTAACACAATTGGCGGAATAATTATCCACCGGAAGAAAAAAAACTGTAGACCGATTTCTTAAATACACCACAGCTTTTTTGGGGGGTTCCTCTTAGGCCAGCCAATCAAAGATCAAATTGGGATTTTTTTTTTTGTTTTTTTTACATGTAGTTTTGTTTTTACATGTAAATTTTCAAGATGATTTTTATTATTGCAAATTTACTATCAAAGACCAGTACGTGCCAAACTTTGAGATGTTGATCAACCGAATGTCTCTTTGCTGGTCAAAAATAAAACCAAAGTCCATTACATCTTTGCATTTCCAATCTTTACCAACAGGGACGATGTTGCTCGGGTGAATCAATACATTGCCGAGGCGATCTACTTGAACAGTCGACAGCCAGCGACCCTCACCCAGATCTCCTTCCTTGACAAACAAGTATTTATATAAGTGTAGGACTTTATTGTCATCCTCCTCAACCCGACCTAATGATAAGCCAGTTTCCGTTTGAAATAAGCCTGTCAAACCAGCAACAATGACCGTCTTGGAAACGTAATAGCTGTCAGATATATTCTTTCTTGCACCAAAGAAATGCTTCTTAAACTGCGAATTTTCCGATTGCATAGCTTTGATGGCAATACCTGTTTCACCACGAACTACTTTTACGTACTTGAAGCCATTCTCTTTCCATTCTTTTGTGTAATTAAAAGAAAACCCATTAAATATCTGTCGACAGATGAACTGCTTTCCGAAACGCTTCGCAACATCTCTAGAAGTATATTGTCTGTTAGTCATAAACAGATGCTCACGAATAAACTTATTGAATTGTTCAGAGCTTTCTGTTTCGTATTGTAAAGGACAACCAAATCGTTTGATATCCTCAAGCAAATGATACAGCATGTGCACCTTAGGACGTAACGAGAATAACGGGGGCTTCGATTGTGTGGTTTGACAAATGGAATTATCCAGACCGTACAAATGGTATGTGAAATCCTTCAATGCATTTTCGAACCAAAGTATGTATTTGTCAAAGTTAGATTCCACACCACGAATGTAGATCAATGAACACAACTTTGCCAAGGATGTGAAGCATCTTTTAAATAAACCAAATTGATTTTCGTCAGTAAACACCCTGTTAAGAACCGTAGGAAGAACTTGTACCAGCTGCTTGTAATCTCTACCAACAAAGGAACCACTGTGACGAAGACTACGTCTAAAGGTTCTTGGGTAAGCATCACGATTTCTTGAGGATTGCAAAGCCGCATCAAGAGTGACTATCTCGGATGGAGAGAGGACCGTTTTGGTAAGATAATCGACAAGGTATTTAACGCAACCAAGTGAAACCGTATGGAGGACTTCTACAGGACAATCCCTGGTGGGATCGAAAGCATTAAGACGAAGAAATGCCTCACTACCATTGACGGAAAAACTGTATGTTTGATCCAACATTTTGAAGCGTTGTGGATCATTTACTTTGCACTGAACAACTTCGTGAAGATCCTCTAACCGTCTCTTGGGATAGTCGTGGGAGATATATGCCACGTCGGAACCTTCATCAGATCGAAGTAAATCAGATAGTTTCTTTGGCTTAGGACGTAAGCACGCACGGCATGGATGTCTAGCATTAGTACCTTTGTGCATAGCTAATTCTGAATGTCTTGGGTTATCAGCCGTCAACAAGAGTAGAGGCGCGACCAAAAGAATATATTCACCATGATCGTAAGAATACACCTCAATTCCATCTTCCAGCTTTGCGAGATCATCAACTAGAGAGCTTACCATATTGACAGCTTTCAAGTTCTTGTCAGAAGTACAAATGAACATGGTATTCTCACGGTGATTTCTCTCTTCCATGGGCATTGCAGCCAAGTACATCAGGTAGCTATCAAATACATTGTACTGCTTGGATTTGTTACCAGAAGTGTCATCAGACCAGAGGATAATGGGCGAGATAATGACTTTCATTAGTTGTTGGACATTGGGACTGCTAGGTCGAACTCTCTTAAACTTTGTGCTGAAATGAAGACCGTTCCAAAGGTTATAAATATCACCATTAAGACCAAATGCCACAAGACAGATTTCGCCGTTAGTATTGTATTCTACGGTACATCCATCTCCTTTGAAATTTGGTAGCTTCGAAATAACATTATCAATATGGTCTACTGCTAAATAATGCTTCTCGGGAACAATTCCAAAGTTCGTGTTTGAATCCAAAAACGGCATATGGTTACCGCTTGACAAACCACCATGTAAGACCTCGAAAGCCTCACAAACAACATGATTTCCAGGTGAATTTGGCTTTGCAACTGTGACAAACTTACTTAAAAGATAACAGTTGCCAATGTTATTCTCGACTAGATCACCGACCCAAATGTCTTTACCATGCGCGGTCACCATTGGTGTTTGGAAGCTTGGGTGATTCCTCCATTTTGTGCCGTGGTTTAAGTCAAAGCATCGATTTGAAGTATAATCAGGAAGTGTAGTGTGGTGTTTTGGGATAATAAAAATTCAGAACAAAAGGAAATAAAACAAAAGTAAGAATACTTTGAGACTGTTGATATGTTTTATTGTTTAAAAGAGAATTAGGGATTATCAAGGTCAAAGAATAAAGGATATATATAAGATGTCTGAATTTAAATTATAAAATTATTGCATAATGGAAGTACACTATTTTAGTGCGGTGTCTTCTTGCACTATTTTAGTTAAGGACTTGTAGAGACTAAAGAAGTGTATTTGCTTTATAAAGTAGTGATGGTGAGATATTAATATTTTAGTGTTAGATGTATGATGTAAGTGTATCTGATGTTATTTTTATTATGGTTCTTATCAAGAAGTAAGTCAGATCATCACATGTAGCCATCTTTTTAGTCATACCAGGAGTAGCTACTAGGTGTTCCAGGTACACGGAGGGCTCATTCATAAAGAACGAATGCTCCTCCCCTTTCTTGTTGCGAGCCTTGCGTTCGACAGGAGCGAAACCAGGGATTTTGGGTTTTACCATCGTGAGAAAGTTGAAAATTCTGTCAGGAGCAGGTAAAACCAGTGGTACTTTTGAAGCTTTCTGTAACTTCAAAGTCACTTCCAGAAGATAGTGAATTTTCTTGACCATTCTTTCAGACTTCAAGTCCTCATCGCCGTAAAAAAATCCGTGGATAAGTCCTTGCAAGGGATAATCAAAAGGATTTGACATAGCCGGGATATCGTCCATCTCATCCATTACACTAGACGCATAATGAAGTCGATCCATGTCGTCTTCCACGTTAGCGACACCAGCTCCAGCAGAAATGTTTTCAAAACTTTGGGCAATAGGAAGAATTGTATTGAGAAGGAACCCTTGGTTGATATCAGCTTCGTCGTCAAAATCCTCTTCACAAGAACTGTAAACTTCATTATCAGAACTGTTTAAAATTTGTGAGTATATTTTTCGTTTATAAATATCAAATATATTTCTACTTACTAAAAATCCTCGGTATCGTGAACTTCAGCATCTTCGGCCATAGTTGTGCCATCATCAGAGTCGCTACCGGTAGCCACGTTTGGGTTTGATACTTCTAATGCAGGTTGAGTATATTCAGTAAACCTGTGGTTCACAGGTTCCGTACTATTATTCTGGTTTGATCTATGTTTTGTTCTTCATATGAGAAAACAAAATTAGTAACTAACAAATAGACATTCTCAGCGTCAAAAACAATACCTTTTTCGCCAGTTGTATACTCTGTTGAATTCAGTCGATCCAACTTTTTCAGGGTGCTCACGTTGAACGTGAGTTTTATATTTCTCCAATTCGAAGGTTTTTTTGTAAGGGTACAAAATGGACAAGTAACATGTTTAAGAGTATTACTTGTTTTGCAGTTAAACGTGCTTGTATACTTTTCCATAGTGAGATGTATAATAAGTAAGTGTAATGGGAAAGAAGAACGTATAATATAAAATAAAAATATGTCAATTATCTACGCTATAAATTATGCAAGCTTCTGTCATTCGCGCTAATTTAGTCTTGTTATTTCAGCGAAAATCTTAGCTTAGCTTAGATAAATTTTTTCTCTTTCTTTCAGTTATTTTTTTTCTCTTTATTTCCGTTATTTTTTTTTTCTTGTAAGGTAAGATATATCACATCACTTAAAAAGTTGGTTTCTAACTGTTAAGCCCTTAAGACAAATTAGCTTTGCATCTTTTGTAACTGGCAGGTTTAAATGGTAATTATCAATTAAAGCCAAGAATGTTTAACGCTTTATTAACAAATAAAACCTTGATTATAGGATTAAATAGTAGTATATTATGTACCAACAATGTAAGTAAATGATAAACAACGCAATACAACTACATATTAACCAGTTTGCTTCCATTAAAGTCTCTTAAAGGTCTATCGCTATTTTTTTTATTGAAAAAGGTATAGTTAATCATCTTATTCAGTACATAATTTTTTCACTAACTAACACTATCTCTAGGTAAGCTCTTCTGCGTCAAAGGCTATACAACTCTACTTTAGCGATGCTTCATCGATTGAAGTATCCCAAGGGTATACGTTTACGTGTTGAGGCGATAAAAGGCGCTGATATAGTAGCTATTTTATAAAATAATCTGAACCAATAAAAATCGTATTTCAATCAAAAATTTTTGTAAGCTTTTTACCCCCAAACCCCCCAGATTGAGAACCCCCAATTTTCAATGAACCCCCAAATCTCGACCCCCCATCTTCTAAACTAGGAAGGAGAATTTATTTCTTAAAAAAAATTTAAAACTCAAAAAAAAATCAGTGGGAGTGTAGAGTTGTGTTATAATGAAGAAATTTCCATGAAGCCGGGTTACTTATTCCCGATCTTTTATTCGTGAAACATCTTTCCTTTTGTAGACAATAGCATTTATTATGTGGTTTTAGCACACCGTAAAAACGGAGTCCGGGTGCGTTAAAGTCGAGCCTTCCTTTTAAAAGTTCACGGGCCTCAGTCTTTCTCAAACAGTGAGGAGAGACTGAAATAAGTGAATTAACAGCAGTACGTTTATTTTTTTTAGGCATTTCGGATTTGATTTTTTCAAGATGGGGTCTATTCTATTGGTGAAATGGTCGAGATGGAAGCAAGTAAATTATTTTAAAAAAAGGTACAGTAATAATGCTCAAGGTTTACCCGTTTGATTCAATATATTTTTATTGGACAGAAGATCAAAAATCACGGAGAAATTGATTGAAACACCACCGTCTATTTGGGGCCGATTCGGCCCCAAATAGACGATTGAAATAGTTCTTGTTAATAAATGAAATCACCTCATCCCCATAACTAAAAAAAAATTCATCATATTGAACATCCGTCCCTGCTAATTTAGATATCTAATTTGAGCATTTACCGCACAGTTGTCGAGTAGTTACTCGAATAGTTACGAAATTCTGAGCTGAAAAAAATAAAAATTATTTTTCTTTACTGGGCGAAGTGACTGGATTTTGATTCCTTTTCCCTTTTTCTTATAAACAAAATTACAATGGCACCTAATATTTCTAAGGCACATAAAAAACCAAAGCAACAATTGTACATGTACATTACTGATGATTACATCAAACAGCAAGAAGAAGAAGAACTCAAACAAAAGGAGAAATTAACTCATCAATTATATGGAAAAAACTGTTATCTCGAAGGACCCTTGCCCGTTACTGAGGATGACGATGAACTTAACCACGAAAAAGCTTTTCGTTCCGATGATCACGACTGCGACATGAATTCTCCTGGTGGTGGTGATGATGATCACGGTGCATGGAACGATCACGACGATTTTTTTGTACTCAACCTGAACCTGTCAATGAGGCTGCTACTATTCAGCCTGTTATTACCCAGCCTGTCACTACCCAGGCTGTCAGCACTGAGCCTGTTGTCAACTTGACTCAACATAGAATCAAGTTACAGAAGCTTTCTGCGGCTTGGAAGGACCTTATGAAGGTCTTTCCAAATGCATATCTGGCTTTTTTGGCTCATAATGGCGGCTTGCCCAATATGTTGGATGGCCAAGGTTGTCTTAGGAGTCCTTCTTGTGGGTGTCCCGATGACTATATGAGGCTAGCCAAAGTCAACTTCTTTTTTGTCTGGGGTAATGTGATGTCACTATTTTAATATTAGTTATACTTATACGAAGTTTCAAAGGTGTAAAAAATAGCGAAGGATTTTTCTACTGTAGCCATTGTAATACCTTGCCTGTTGCTTTGGTGGAATCTGGATTTTTTCCTTTGTCACCAAACAGAACAACAGGTGCTGTACATTTTAGTCTCTGTGATTTTTTTCTTAGACTAAGAAACACCTTTGCAGGTTCTGCTGAGAAAATATCAAGCTTCTATGACGCCTGGGCTCCTGGCACCGAAAAGGTATAATATAAAAGAAAATCAACATGTTTTGTTTTATTTTCTTATATTCCATGTAGACCACTATCTCGGAGGAAAAATGCTCAAACACCATCCTTCTTTACCATAAGATGGTTGAGCTGTCGGAACAGATGGTACTGGGGGAAGTTTCCACGTCGTGTCCTGCTTGTCCTGAGGTTTTTAAAGAAAAAGAAAAAAAAACTGCTTTATTAACTTTTTAAGTAATTTTTACAACAGGTTGGATCAACCAATGTTAATGACAAGCAGTTCATGACGATGGATGGAAACTTTCATTTGAGAGGTACAAGATTGCTGGCGGATGAAGGTGATCTTTCTAAGGTTTCGGGCCTTGGGAAATTCAAGAACTTTTGGATGAATGAAGACTTGGTCCAGTCATTTGACAAATCAGAGAAGGTAATTGATAGTTACTAAGTATCATAATGCAATGTATTAAAATGTCTATATCCTTTTTATTCACATATAGCCTGGAGCCAAGGCTACTTCTACCACCGCCAAGGCTACGTCTACCGCCACCACCGCCGCCACCGCCGCCACTGCTATTACTACCGCCACCAAGGATGCTGCCACCAATGATGCTGCCACTGCCAAGAGCCTTAATACCAAGAAGTCTACGGTGGAAGAACCCCGGATCTTTCAAGCCTTGGTGCACCAGAACCGCACATCGGCCATATATCCTGTCCGTGGTGTCTTTGGCAGTGGCTGCGCTAGACACGATACTGTGTTCCAACTTGCAGACATGAACGCCGGGGAAGGGTAACATTCGCTTTTCTTTGTTTTTTTTTTAAAAATCGATACATATTAATTTATCATAGGTTTAAGTATCCACTGGCTGCTATAGCCTCTGTCGAGAACCAGCTTGGTAGAAAGGTTTCTTTACATGTCATGTATGACATTGTATGCAAACTGGAGCCATCTATCAAGGTATGTTGTATCAAAAATTGACAGTTATCATATCACTAATTTATAAGTTTTAGCTGAACGTCCCCGGAATCGCCGGTTCTGACCGCTTGGGTCTGTCTGTCTTCCATGCTTACGTTCATGTAATGCACTGTCAGGTCAAGTACAACCCGAGATATATTGAAAACTTTGGGTTGACTGACGGTGAAGGCATGGAAAGACTTTGGTCTTACTTGGCCAAATACATTACCATGACCAAGCCCATGATGACTGAGAACCGGCGGTATGTCCTGCATATGGCTGTTAAGTACAGGAACACAGTTGTCAAACACAACCTGGGTACGTTAACTATTTAAAGATAATGCAGATCTATACTTAATCCTATGATATATTATTTTTATTAGCCAAAATCTTGAAAGAGAAAATTTACCGGCTTGAGGTTGAAATGTTACAAGTTGGAAACAAGATTGGAAAGTGGCCCATGAATCGTTATAAGAATGTGGAGGAGCGTTACGCCAATCAAGTGGGTGATCTTGGGGAGCGAGGATGTTCTGGATATGATGTGTCAGATGCACTTCCAAAAAGCTATGTAGACGAGCATACTTTTCCTTTGTTGTTGAGCGTGTACCTTAGCTTCCAGTAAGTCTTCTTTTTATCTAATATGTTTTTTAAGCTATTTTATATTCACCAATTTTATCATAACTTGTAGGAGCATCCTCAATGGCAACGACACCGCCTATGTTGTTAGCTCCACCGGTAGGTCCTATTTCCCCAATGAGTTGCCCAAGATCGAGGAGTATCTTTGTGGTGTGGAGAGGGCTGCCGGTCGTAACGTCTCCGAAAGACCTACCATTTTGAGACCTGATTATCTTGGTTTTGCCGAGTCTCAGTGGTTGGCCTTCCTCAAGGTCAAAGAGGCATTATACAGAGATATTTCAAGAAGTAATGTCCAAGTCTACTTTGACCTTGGGGATAAAATTCATAGTGGACACATCGGTACGTATTTAAAATACTTGTATCATCAAAGTTTAACTTTTTTTTTTTTTTTTTTTTTTTTTTTTTTTTTTACCAGGGACCAAATTGGCAGGAAAGCTACAAGAAGCCTTGAGAAAGCAGAAGTCCTTGGTGGCTGACGTTATCTATATGTACAATTTGAACAACAAAGAGTTGATTGAAAGCCCAAATGCAGGTATGTTCTAAGAAATATATACTCTTTCCATTGCCAAATATATATATATATATAAATATATATATTAAATTGTGAGTAGATAACATAAAGTCGCTCACCTTGGACTTTGTACTTGAAAAAGAGAATGGATTTTGGGATGTGAACTGGTCAAAGGAAGTCTCGCTTTGGTTGCGATGGAAATGTTTGAAAGAGGAACAGATCCGTTTAGAGGTAAGATACTTTTAGGTTATTTATTAAAAAGAAAACATGAATTGAAATTTGTTTGCAGCGGGATGTCTTTTGGCTGGACCACCACATCAAGCAAGAGGAAACTTATCTGGCTTCTGCACTTGGGGAGCACGCTGTAAATTCTGGCGCTCGTATACTTATACAGCGTGCTGTGGACGATAATATCAGATGGAAAAAGTTTACTGATCACCATCTGGCCCACGTTCGGCCCAGTGACACCGAACCCCCAAGTGCTGATGATGAGTATATTGACCTGGTAGAGGAAGGTAAGGAGAAGGAAGGTGTGGTGGAAGTAGAAGTGGATGATGATGATCGTAGTGGTGTTGGTGTTGGTGTTGGTGTTGATGTTATCTAAAACTATATTAATATAATAAAATAACAAAATAATAAAATATAGAAATATAAAAATATAACAATATAAAAATATAAAAAATATAAAAATATAAAAATATAAAAATATAAAAATATAAAAATATAAAAATATAAAAATATAAAAATATAAAAATATAAAAATATAAAAATATAAAGATATAAAAATTTGGAAGGTGAAAAATACAACAAAGAAAATAATCTATAAGACTAATTATTAACCGGATTGCAAAATAACTTTTTTGTTTTATTAAATATAAAAATAAAGGGTTCTTTTATACACCTTGAACATAGCCATAACTGTAAACGGGAAAACTACCATCGTGGGTAGATTTCATTATAAATCATCCAAGCTGTCAATATCCCGCAAGGTACATCAAGGATAATAAAAATAACAGTCCGTAACAGGGAAATTCCCCTTAGTGCTACGTGAATTTTAGATGAGCAGCTGACATATGTCAAAATCTGAAAAATGATAAATTACTTCAATCGTCGGAGTATACCAATACTGTGGTGTATATACTCCTCGAATACAACAGAAGGGCAATATTGGGTCCTAACCATGAAATGCGCGTAAAAAAAACTTGATAATCGGTTGCATTTATTTTATTTTCTTTTAATCACTGTCATTTTTTGTCTTCAGTTATATCATCAAGTGTACCAAATTACTCATTTCGGATGGTTTTAATTAAATTGCGTCGCTTACTTCTCTAAAGTAGTTTGATTTATATCACACCAACTCACGCAATTAAAAAGATTCCATTTCTTATAGAACCCATTCAGTTAAATAAACATTTTAAGATACTTTTCTTTTCGCAACAATTAGTACGAATAATCATGTAACTGGTGTGATTTAATGAATTCAGCATTCTTGCTTAATTGTTTAGGTATGTATATCTGAAAGTAAACATAAAGAAAATTTTAGTTGTGATTTAATATAACTTATTGTACATAATAACATTTGGTTGTTTAATATTAATAAGATTATAAAGAATATTTTATTATAGTTGACGTTTAAACGTATCAACTGTCAGTACTTTGTAAAAAAGAAACAACCTTGCTTTCAAAACTGATAAATATTATACCTGAGAAAAACCTCAAGAAACTAATTGTCATTGTATAATACATTCGTTAATAACATTAAACATTATTTTTTGTATGTTATAACTTCAAAGTGAAACACTTCATCATAATTCTTAACGATTAACATTATTTAAATACATAATTATTATGATTTATTATGAGAAAGTTATCTGTATCTTATATATCTTTTAAATAATTAATGTGTATACCAATGTATTAGTTACGTGAAATATCATGTTTCTATTAATTTGACATTAGAAATTAACGTTTACATCCTCTAATAGTTTTAAAAATATCGAGACAACGTTTCTGCATCTAACAGTGTTATCAAAACCATTTTTCTGTTTCGTAGATCCTCATCTAAACTTGAGCAACAATTTTTTATGCTCAAAATGTTGCTTTCTTAAAAATTATTTTCTACTGTGCCTTCTTTTAAGTCATATGGCGTTGGTAATGTGAAAACTTAACATAATGTGCCCTGTCTAGTCTGGTTTGACACTCTTTATCACCCACAGGCGACAGCTACAATTGTATTTATTGAACAAAGCGTTAAGTATATAAACTTTTAAAATTTATGCGGCTATCTAGAATTAGTCAGATAACTTTCAGGTACATAGACTTGCTGTCAACGTATGATATCTGTCACGTCAACAGATAGAAAGTTTGTATAATCCGAGGTAAAGCATGGTTCTTATATTTCAATCGCTAGCTATGAGTTGTAATACAGGAGGTACGGGTATCATCCAGCTAAGTTTCATGGTTTATGTATTGTTGCATTTGTATATTGAGATATGGAGGATGGGATCTCACATACATTAACATCATTGGTAACTGTTCGTACACGCATTTTCTTCTCACAGAAGAAACTGTAATTAACACAGATGTCACTGTATCGTTAAATGCTTTGATTATGTTTCCACTTACATTCACCTCCAAAACAAATACTACAATTTAGGCAATGGTTACCATATCACCCAGATTTTATCTGTACAATCTAGAATGAAGTATTAATGGCCAAAGTAGCAAAGGAATACAGCAACACAGAAATTAAGATTTTATTAAAGCATATAAATGGACGAAACACAAAACTGAAATTTTACATAGTGCATGTTTATTAATGAACTCGAAAAAGTCGATTTGAGTTTGGGTGGAGAATCGAGTTGAAAGAACCTTACGAGACTCTCTCGGTTGTTGCCCATACGTTAACAGACACTACAAACCTTTGTGTGTGGGTAAAAAGGGTGTAATTCATTTGGGGTGTAATTCTCGGTATAATAGTTTTTCCGAAATAAATATGCTTAACGGTCACTGATAGAGTTGTATAAAAAGACTTCAATTTTTTTTTGTTTTACACTCCAAATTTTTAATTATAAGATTATAGATGCTATGTCTTCAATTACATAGCAAATTGATAAAAGAAAATACAGAATCTTACGAAGTAAAGCATTTTTAATATGGTTTTTTTCATTATAAAAGGTTTTGTATTTTTTTGTGTGATTTTATAGCTTTTTGTAGCAGGCAAAGACAGTGTTTTTATAGTTTTTCAGGATGTCTCTGCCTTTTTGCTTGTCTGCAGTGATTATGACCATTTTCTTTTTAATATTGTCAATTCTTACAAGATAGGGTATGCACCCAATTGTTTTGTAGCAAACGGTGTAAAAGTGGGAGCCATCATACGAAGATGAGTACACACGACCTTGAATTTCTTAATTCAGTTTTTCGGATGTTTGTAAGATACTTGGAAAGTAAGTCGTTTCCAATGCGATACCAGCTCCTCTTGCATTTCCCAAGAATAGGAAGGGCGGGAAGTCTTGTAAGCTTACAGTATTCTGGGAAGTGACTGTGCCTGTACACCCTTCGAATCTACAAGCATGCTTTCTCTCTCTGACAATGTGTTCATATTTGAACACAGCGCTGAACTCGTTGTCAAGACTTTGATGCGAAGCAAACGTACGTTCAGCGGAAAATGCCGTTCTCATTTCAAGTCCCACTTCGATTACTGGTTGAGTTTCTGAGTTAGGTTCAACGAAACTATGTTCAGCATTAACAGAACAAAGGTGTGATCTAACTGTTGAGCATCCAGGGAAATTTGAGATGGCTGCCTGGAACCTCTCTGAGCATTTACCCATGATGAAGTTAAGGACCTCTAGGCAATCACCGTATTTACCTTTAGGATACTGCATCGATCCGTCTAACTTCTCCAAAGACCAAACAAAATCTCTTGCTATGGCGGATGCCTCATTGGTGAGAGCAACCTTTTCTTCCATAGTTCTGGCATGTTTGTGAGCGCAATATTTGTCGTAAGTGCTCATGAACATGCTGTCATATATGTTTTCGCTATTTTCCAACTTGGTAAAATTAACGGAGGGAAAAACATTGTTCCACAGCAATTCAAACGTAGCATCAATGAAACACGAGGCGGATGTATTCGCAGAAATATGATCAAAGAAAGTAATCCTGGAAGAAATAGGATCGGCTTGCAATTTCGATGCATCATGGTTAAATTTTTTGACAAATTCATTGTAGGTTTTGACATTCAAATTTTTTTGCTTGGTTACAGGCTCTAAACAAGGCTTAGTCACAGAAGAAGAGGCCCTCTTCTGGACTGCCTTTTGTTTTATGCCATTGACCGGGTCACTACTTCTACTGATAGTTTTCACAGCAACCGTTTCCTCTTCAACAACCAAGCCGTCATCCACGTAACCTTGCCAGATTTTATAAAAATCCAACGATCTAACTGAAGATACAGACTTGTTGTCATCAAGATCGGGAGAGGCAGTAAACTTACAGAACTTGACTTCTTCAACATCAAGCCAGCCTTCATCAACAAAACCTTCTAAAGTACGTCGAATGTTTAATGAGTTCATCGAACACACAGAGCTGCTATCATCGTCTTTTTTGATATTTTCGTCGGATAATGGGGTACTGCAATAATCAGATGCATATCCCATAATTTCTTCAGCAGCGTCACGAACAACGAAACCTCCAAACATTCCGTTTTTTAAATCCACATTTAGTTGTCCAGTAAAGTTGTAATCTCCATCGGATGTGACTTCGTAGTCGCCGTTATGTTGACGATCATTCAATTCATATGGAAGATCATCGTCATATGTCGAAAAGAAAGCCGTGATACCATCTTCCATCTTGTTTTTCTCTTCAATACGGTGATTGTTTGCATCTTTATCTACACCAAAAATCTCGTAAAAGTTGGTGCTTTCTTCAACAGCACTGTCCAAACTTCTCTTCTTAATATTTCTGCTGGATTTATCACCGTAGATGGCATTAATGTTATCTGGTGGTCTACTATCAGATGCTTCGTACAAAGTTTTTATAAGTCTTTTACTATGAGTCTTTCTTTTTTTAGACCCGTAAACAGGACTGATTTCATTTTCATAGTAGTTGGCCAATTCGTTTCCATAAACCTGCGCAACTTCCATAATCTGACGGAGGGCATTTCCCAATGAAAGTCCAGGCTCCACAAAACGGTGCAAGTTTCTGTCAAAAGATTCAATTCCGTTCGTAGTTCTGGATTCATGCTCTTGCAATTCCTGCTTCATTATCGAATCGTAATTAAAAATGGTAGGTCGAACATGGTCATCCAACCACCATTGCAACCAACTACGGCAATCTGGAAACGTCTTCAAAAGACTCCTTCCTGTTTCAATGAAGACTTCTTCCCTGGTCGTTTTTTGCAACATGTTAGCAAGAGAAATAAATTCTTTAGATTTACCGGCAGGAACAATTCTCTGGATTTTGATAATTCTTTGGACAGATTGCATCCAATGAAAATAACATCCTTTAATCAATGACAAAGATGATTTATCGTCCATATTGAAATGCTCTTCGCAGGCTTGTTGAAAACCTCGTTGCTCAGCTTTAGAGAAATCTAAAAGTATACCAAGAAAAAACTTTGATACAATTGCATACTTCTTAAACAACGCCTTGAAGTAGAAGGCAAATTGTTCGGCGGTTTGGTGCTTGATGACAGCTTGAAAAAACACCATATGCTTTTTCATTTCTTCGACGTAGATGACGGATGAGACCAGATTGTTTGGGATGGAGATAAAATGTAAATTAAGGTAACAAAAGAAAATACTGTATATCTTTTATTTCGAGAAAATTTAGATTAGGGAATTCTACTAGCAAAAACTACAGGTATTTATACTAAATGATTAGATGGCTTTCGGATAATATATGTGACGCGTTAGAGGAATATGATATAATGTTATACGTAATGTCTGTTTGAATAAATATGTTATGAAGTAATTCCTGCCTTACAAAGTAAAGACAAAAGTACGTGAGGATCTAAATTCATCTCCGCAGGTGACATTACGTAAATGCCAAAGAGAAAGTTTAGTGCGTGTAATATTCAGTAACCGAATATTCCGCCTATGGGATTGTACTATACTTTTATGGTATTATAATATTTTACTCGTCACAAGGCAAATCACCTTGTGCACAGACACCAACGGTTCTGATGATAACAAATGGGGCGAAGTGTGAGCCATGAATATTTATACATGATCATCCATTATTATGTAAAATATGATGATTCTTTTATTATAATCTATGACATCCTCAACACAGATAATAACCGGAGGACACCGCTTTGTAAGTAACATCCGTGATAATGGGGTGCTTGTCAAAGGGCAACTTGAATTTTGTCATTTCAGGAGAGGAAAAGATAATGCAAAATTCAGAACTCATCACTTGTGCATGGTTAATAAAATTAGGAAAGTCATTTTCGATTTTATTGAGCTCTTCGAAAACGTCGCCATTGCTTTTGCTTTCAAGTCCCTGTCTGATTCTTGACTTTTTCAGCTCCATCTTAGCACGTTCTTTATTTCCAAGAATTGGATTAATGTTTTGAATAGACTTAATATCTTGACGACCGGCAACTGCAGTAGTGGGCGTCATGGTAGGATTCTTTTCCAAAATTTTATCGAGTTCTAACTTTTCTGTCATAGAAAGATGCTTAGAGTTGTATACACCATGGGTGTGTCTTATTCTGCAATCCTTGTTTATCATATGCATCATGGTACAAGTCCTGGCTTTTACTTTGAAGAGATACTCTACTTTTACTTCACATTTAATCCAGCTCAAAAGCGTGTCGCAGTGATGACATTTACTTTGTTTTATAGCAGCCTCTCTGGTAAGAGGTCTAGTTGCCTTTAAATAAAATGGACAACTGCTTTTAATACATTCAGTTGCTCCCAAGCATGACTTTACAATACGGCGGTCATGTTCGTGATCGTCATCTGTCATAAGCTTAGAAAGTCTTCCTTTGTTGGGCTTATACGAGTTTTCGGTTGCTAATGACAAGCCAATGTTCAAGTCAAAGTCTTAGAACAAATTTTTAGACTCGTTGAAGTGAGCTTTTGACGTCTCCTGTGCAAATTCTCGGGGAAATTGTATTTTAAACGTAGTCGTTTCTGACATTATTGTTATAATAAAAAAAGGGGAAAAAGCAGAAAAATTGAAATTTGGCTAAGTCATTAGTGGCTTATTACACCCCACGGAATATATATTTAACCGAGAATTACACCCAAACTCCCCGCACCGCAAACCTTTACATGTTGAACACTTTTCAACTCAAAAAATTTTGCCATAAATCTTCCATGTAATTACGTTAATTCAAAAATCTTCAATGGGCAACCACGTAACGAGCAGAAGTTCTAGAAAGTTTAGCTTTCGACAGAATAGTATATTTGTGTTATGTGTTCGACTAAGTATACCTCACTCGCAACATTGACAGAAACAATGTGGAATAAACGCAAGTTAATTCATACAAGAATCGTTAGCAGAGAGATTTTGTAAATAAAAAAAGTGGGGCCTCTCTCAAAAAACTGCTCTGACCCTGTAATAAAAAGCTGAAGTAGAAAAAAAAAATTTTTTTTCTGTCAATGACACCATTATTTGCCAATCAAATTGGTCCACGCTGTAAAAATCATCTACTTCTCGTAAAAAGTGACGCAATTCTCTTCCCTAGGTTGTTTACTTTTTACCATTACCCTTCTACCATCTAAATGTTTTGAAAGAATCCCTACGACAACCTACCCTATAATGGATTTTACCCGTTGCCTAGTCATATGAAAAAGACTCAAATGTTACTCATTATGAATAACTTTTTATTAACATCGTAATATTTAAAACCTTTACGTGTATTTTCAACTATAGCGTGTTTCATGCTTCCTCTTTCATGCATCAGCCTTTTTCATGCCATCTAACTGTTTAAGTCTTTTACCACCAGACTGATTTGTTACCACCAGACTGACCAGCTATATAAAGTTTATTTGGTTTGGGAGAGATGCTTCGTTTTCCAAAAAAGTCTTTTAGCCTACTGGTTGCGCGCTACAGATAATTGTTCTCAATAGTCATGACCATATAATATCTCAACATTGCATTGGTCTATAGAGACATTAGGCGGTTATTTGAGACACCTTAAATAAGAGGATTCAACTTATTTTTGGTAAAGCAACGGTCAATTAGTATCAGTGGTTTTATCGTTATCAGTTAGTAGTGTATTTATTTTGGCCAGGCGCTTATAGCCTTGACATTAGATTATTCGCCCAAGACGCTTGTATCATTGTTACCAGTTTCATTTTAACTTAGCGGTTACAAAGAATGTATTTAAAATATAAGATGTGATATCAATACAAACATGTGTAAATGTATTTATGGGCAAACACATAAATGATCCATAATCTTTGGCGTATTGAAACAAACATACAGTTGCGTCGCCTCACAAAATTGTTTATGTGCCAGGGACGTCGTACCTTATTGCATAACGCACCACAATATTAATATTAGAACGTCGAAAACATACATCCCAAGAATAAATCATCTTTCTAATAACATGCATCATTTGTCAATAAAAAAAAAAAAGGATATTTTTATTCATTGACATTATCACTGCCATGCCACTTGGCTCAGTAGAAGCTTCAACGCTTGGCTCGGAGATTGTGGCACTTGGCACATCAGATGTCAACATCGCAAGTCGACTGTTGAAATGACGAGTCAACCTGAACTCAAGGCAATCCAGGCTACCCTTTATCTTTCGGATGTTGTGTGCCTTTTTTATCTCCAAGAAGTTAAAGTGGTCCAGAGGCCAATTCTTGACCACGATGAACTTGAGCAGTGGGACAACCGCTCCCAAGGTCTCAGCCTTCACCATTTTATTCCAATGCAGTACATTATATGATGTCCCGCATTGGGCATCTACGTAATTGAGAAATTCGAGAGTGATAATAGCGAATTAAGAATAAAATATAAAATTTAAAAAAGTGAAATTATCAAACTGCAAAAATAAACTAAAGCTTTATTAAACAAATAAAAGGGGGTCTTTATATACACATTATTTCAGACATTGATCACAGATGGGCTGATGACGGTTGTGGGTAGATTTATCCAGATAATACTCGGATGTAATGATCCCATATAGAAAGACCATAATGAGATGTCAATAACAATAACAAGAACATTCATTCTTAAACTGTGTATGTCTTGTAGCACAACATTCAGGGGAAAATGTTGTTCTTATTAAAGATAGCTGTGGCACCTCAACGTGGCTGATGTAACCTTCATATGTTTTCATATTCATGTTATTATTTAAATGTATGCCTTATACTTGTATGAAGGATGATATGAGATCAAGCCTGTACATAAAGTAAATGATCAGTATTTAATATAAAGTACCAATAAGAATTATATTTAGGATTATCAAATGGAAGATTTAAGAAGTGTAGATAGAGTCATATATTAAGTATATAGCCTCGATCACGACAGTAATACGATTAGGCCAAATTTCATAGCTTTGCAAATTTCTGACTTACTGAGCTTCGCCCTGATCGCATCTTTTACCTCCTTAATCTCCTTGGACTGTTCAAGGGCAGCAGCAGTATTCCGGGCTAAATACGAGTGTACAACTTACGTTAAAATCATATTTTTTTTTATTGTATTGTAGATACCTTTTTGAGCCATGGAAATTGGATTGACAAGAATCCTGACTTCCTTCCTCCATCGTTGGAGATCCGCCTTCTCAACGTTTTCTGCATAGCAATAAATTTAAAAAATAGATTTAAAACAAGAGCAATACACATTTACCTCCAACAGCAACCAAATCCCAAGATTTACCGCTACCAAACATCACAGCGGTTTCTGTTCCATGAAAGCGGTGCATGGCCGTGATATAGTTAATGAAGGTCGTTCGGACCTTTGCCTTAGTCATGCCAGACCTAAGGAGATTCTCATATCCCTTGCCTGCCTGGACGTTACTGACCATTTCCTCCAGTACTTCCATGTCATCTTCAGTCTAGCTCTTGTACCTCTCAGACAAAACACTAGGTGTCAAACTAACAAATTAGTCATCTACAGAAGAGGTTTCTGTAAATGAGTTCTCCACAGCAAGTTTTTCTGCATTGACTCTTGCCCTTTCCTTTTGACAAAAGACATTGTAAGGGTTGACAGATCTATGTTTTTCCATCAAAGGGATCTCAGAAATATAGTGCCTGCCAATGGCTTCCTGAATGGCGCTCATGGTAGCGGTATTTCCCAGATCCTTGCACATTACCAACAATTTCAAGTCGGCCGCCTTGCGTCTTTCTGCCTCCAGCAGTATTTCGTTGTAAATCTCGGTTTCGAATCTATGAAAAGTCATTGTAATTTTGTTTATAAGAAAAAGGGAAAAGGAATCAAAATCCAGTCACTTCGCCCAGTAAAGAAAAATAATTTTTATTTTTTACAGCTCAGAATTTCGTAACTATTCGAGTAACTACTCGACAACTGTGCGGTAAATGCTCAAATTAGATATCTAAATTAGCAGGGGCGGATGTTCAATATGATAGTGTTTTTTTTTAGTTATGGGGATGAGGTGAATGAAATATACGAGTATTTATATAAAAGACTGTTTGCTGTGTTCATATCTCTAGTGCTATCTTGAAGTTATCATTGATTAACCCAAAATGTATACGATTACAGTAGTCGCCCGATTTAAGGGTGATAGATTTAAGGGTATTTT